AAAAAAGGCCAGTGTGAAACAGTAAGACATATTTGCTTTTTTAGTTTTTAAGTATATTAGAGTACACCATAGAACCCTAAGGTGAATTTGGTAGTGCTGAGATGACTCTTAATGACTAGTAAGTGTCCGAGTGGGCAGGCAGGTACTGTACAAGGGCAGCCTTGCTGCCATAATATGGATTATTTGACCCATTTAAAAAACATTCTTTTTCTCAAATGTAGCACTTAACTACCCTAGAATACTGAATAACAAGCATTTACTAATGCTTTCCTAATTAGTTTCTAACTAAATAGGTTTGCTTGTAATCATAAAAGAATACTGTGAAGGGAACTCTAGACACTCAAAGATCTTCCGTTTCAGGGGGCTGTTAATTATTATTATTTTTCAGGGAGAATGTACCAGACATAGAGAGAATGTACATAATAAGCGTTCCATGCTGTGCTTAATTTACATATTGAAGTACTTTAGTGAGGCAAACAGACATCCAAATATCAGCTTGAAACTAAAATTTGTTAGTTTGTTTTTGTAAAATAAATAATTTAAAGTTGATATGCTTGATGACATGATCCCAAATAAGCACTTCATATGAACTGAAAAATATCTGTACAAGAATATCATAAAAGCACAGTTTCAGGACTTTATAAAAAGATTTATCAACAAATTCTTGTTCTTATATTATTCTCCTTTTCTATGACTTTTTTTCCTTTCATTCTTATAATGACTTCTGGGGATAAATCATAAATCTCTCACAGTACACTCACTAAAAAGAAATTAACTTTATAAATGTGTCAAACAAAGGAATTTACGAAACATTTTAAGAATCCTATTCCATATTTAACTGCTAATTTCCGGTACGATTTATCTGTAAAAAACCTGAAACACAGAATTTTTATGCTTATGACAAAATTATTATAAAATCATTTTGAATCAGATGTATATATCTTGAATTTGAACATCAAAGCAGAAAAATCATATCCACACAACACCAATAACTTATGTGTGAGTTGCTGATTTATAGTTCATGACACTAAAAAATCCAACTGAATTTTAATTTCATGGGGTATATTTACTGCGCAAGAATAAGATCCATTATGTTTTTTTAGCAGAAACACCATAACTGGAAAAGTATTTCGTGCTCCTACCTGTAAATATTAAAGCATTTCACAGGAAAAGTTTTTGAATTGTCATTGTGAGAGGGCCATGGCTGAATGGTTACCATTTGTGAGATTTAAACCTCAATTTCTAGTGTCATTGAGTGCAGTGGAGAAAAAAAAATTACACCACATAAAGAATGCTTAATAATACTTTTAATTAAAAAAATAGAGAAGATATATCTTGGGGCAGCAACTACTGAAATATTATGAGTGTTTTCTTACCAAGTCTACAGTTTTAAAATTAAATATTAATGTCCTATAGGACCCTTTTGAAATAATTTATTCACAAACAGGATGTGATTTAACTAGAAGTGACAAAGCCTTTTCTTTTTACTTTTCAGTGTTTGGATGGGGTGGGTAACCAACAAAAAAATACCCCAAAAATCACAAAAGCACCAAAGACCACATCTGTATATGTTTACTTTAAGATTTTCTGCTTCATATAGAATTCATATTTTTTATGTTGATAAGGAGTTTTTCTATGTGATTTAAAGTTATTAGAAAACAATACACTTTTTATGCTGTCATCTAGAAAATAAAATATGGCATGCCCAGTAGTTACTCATGGCTAGAAAAGTGACTCTATAGTAACCAAAAATTAGCAGAAAATGAGATTAATGAAGCTGATGAAGCTAAGAGCATTAAAAGATCTGCATATTATGCTCCCTTTGAACTAATCAATTAACAGTAAACATTTTGCAAGAATGTAGATGTGTTCTTGTAGTTCCTCTTTTGTATTTATCTGTATGACACCTGTCTTTTTTTTTTTCCATTATCTCCCATCTATTCAGTTGAAAATGTTCTGGGCTCTAATTTTCTGATATAAGAAGACATGCAATCAAATCTATATTACACCAAGTAGTCCAAGGTCTGTTTTTCTACTCTTTATTCATAAGTTGCTCTATGGATAAAAGAACAGGAAAACACTATTATTTCTGACTGAAAGAAAAAGGACCATCTCCTGAAGTAAATATATTAAAACAAATACAGATAATTAATATTAGTTACCATATAATTTTTTGCTAAATAAAATATAGGATCTCATTTCTACTATCATGCTATTTACATAAAAGATTTCATCTTCTAAGGGCTTCACAAATAATAAAGCAAGCTAGTCAAAACTTCAGTATATGCTTTGCATTGTAAAAATGGAGTGTTAAGGTTAATGGCTTTTTTCAAGGCCATACATCTTAGGGTGGGATAGATATTCTTGGGCTTCTCAGAGTTCAGTCCACAAACTGTACAGAAATGTGCTGAAATTCTGTTAATTACTTAAATAGTTTATAGGTAGGTGTGCATCACTGAATTTATAATATGTAGTGAGGGATATCTTGCAGATTTCCTGTTTTTAATCCAGACTTTATGATGGCTGCTTTTAGATAAACAAACATTGGCCTTATAAATTGTTTGCAAGGCACTATTGCTTTTGAGAAAAATAAACCATCAGTTCACAGACTCCAAAAACATTGCATTGTACTTGAATTAAGTTCTTGCACGTATCAGTATGCTAAAGACAAAAATACTGTGCTGTGCTAGAAAGTATAATATGCAAACATTATCAAGCCCTATCTGGTATTACTTGGTATGTAGAAGAATACAAACATTATTTTAATATTTCTTTTTATGCAGTTATCACTAGGTTCCTGATGAAAAATTCACAGTGATGAAATATAGTCCAATACATTGACAATTTATTTTCAGTTTTCTTGGACTTCAGAAGGATTTTGAGTATCTGTTTCTCTTCTGCAGATTTAGGAATCTTTTTTTGATGCCCACTGTCTCACCTAATTCAAAGGCATGAGCCCTGGTGCTACATAAAATCAGGTGACTGACTGGAAGAAGTGCATTTCAATTGAATTGGTAAAGGACATCCTAGCTGGGTAAAAGATTATTAATGAATTAGAGCTTTTTTAGGACATCCATTACACAGTAGCCTAAATACAATGTTCAACGTAGTGATTTATGTATATGTGTATGAAATTTATTTTGCTATCAGTCAAATGATTTCTCAAGCCCGAGATGTAACTAGAAAACAAAAACCAACCAACCAACCAACCAACCAAAAAAACCCCCCCAAAAAAAAAAAAAAAACAAAAAAACAACAAAAAGAGGCCCTGTCTTTTTCAAGGCTATACAATTAAGGGTGGGATAGATATTGCCTGCAATCTTTTCTATTAGCAGTCTGGTTGGGTATGTCTTACAGTCCTGGAGGAGACTTCAAGATCTTATTTTTTTCCCCCCTTGAAAAACCTCTGAAAATCTCAACAATTTCTTGAAATGGTTTGAATATTTCCAAATGTAGGAAGTGTGGGGAGGATGTTTTTTAACTCCAGACATTTTTTAATATTTGACATAATGCTAAGAAAATGATAAATTTAAAGCACAGTCGGCAATGACTTCATAGCTCATCTACATCTGTGTGTGCGTGTACATACACGTTTCCTCATAGGCTCATATTTACTGTGGATTTACCATTCTATATAATAAGGGTTTTAGGAATGATTTATTCAGTGTTATTAATACAAAATGTTAGAAACATTTAATCATACATCAGAAATCCACATGAATTTAAGTGAGACTGTGTGACAGTGTTTGACATAAGGGCATTCATCTCTGTGATGATATTGTGATGTCTGATTCCTTTCTTAGAAATGGGAAGAGCAAAGCTAAGGAGGTTTGGGGAATGTATCAAAAGAATAGTGACAGGTTTTGGCAAATATTACTTTTCAGACAGTCCTTCACAAATAAAGATGTGTATGACTTCTTACAAAGCACAGTCTATGAACACCCTTGTGGTTTTGTTTCAGTTTCTCAAGTTAGCAGCTTCAGAATTTTTGTATTCAAACTCATTAAACCCTTCTTTCTTTACCACCACCACCAAAAGGCCCCAGAAGAAGGCTCTAATAAGAGGAAGTTTAAAGGGCACATCCTTTCTGTTCTGCACTCTTTTAAGCATGTTGTGTGCACTTAAACCCAGCACTGAAACTACTTCCATACCTTTACACATGTATCTTTTCAGTCAGCTCTTGTTTCTGTAAGATTTTTTTTACTTTTCTTCCTTCTTGATAATGTACAATCTCATTAAATGATCGGAAACAATAAGGAATTACCATAGGTTTGGCTGCAGAATTAGGTGCTTAATTTGCAAAAAATTATGTCATGTTTCTGCATATTTACTCCACAGAATGTGCATTACACTCACAGACTAGAGCACAAGATTTTTCAGAATTAGGTTTTCTGACTCTGGAAATATTTTCTTCTGTTACTAAGAACATTCTTTTCCTATAGCATCACATGGTTTACGTGGCTATATCTCTACCTTGAGTGTAAACAACTACAGTTACTTCTAAAGGTAATTAATTTTATTTCAAAGGGATGTTTTCATATCAATCCTCTGCTAATTTGCAATAGTTGAACGTTCTGAGTTTATGCAGATGATTCTTTAAAGGAATCTTATGTTTTACATGCCTTTTTCCTTGTACATCGCTGCCATGAATAATGATATTGTAAATTTATTTTGACTGTGACCACATTTCATGTTAAGTTGTGTACTTGGTTTATGACATATTCTTCATTTACACAACACTGGATGCATTGGAAAATGTCTTCCCCAAACCTAACTAAATCATATTTATACGCTAAATGTTGAGTACATAAATAATTATAAGCCCTTTGTAGCTAGAGCCCACACAAAGCTTTAAAAATGTACCAGCATACACGCCGCTATTTATTTTCTAATGTACTTAAGAAAAAATATATTTGTCATGGAAAATGTGTCAATGCATAGCAAATTTGTCACATTAGTGCTCCGAAGTATCTATAAATAACCACACTCACCAATATATATTATGTGCACTTCTACATATATTTACTGTTGAAAAAAAAAAAAATCAGTATATTGTTGTCAGTTTTAAACTTTTTAATACAAATTCTTTTAAAAAATATTTTCCTCACTTTATTTTAAAAAGTCTTTATTAACAGTGAGGTGAAAAGTCACACAATGGAATAGAGAATCAAAAAGGGACAGCACAATGTTGTATGACGTTTTAGCGCACTTCGGTGCCACCATTTTTTTATCCCCATATAAATGCAGCAAGTAATGAGAAATGCTGCTTCATTGATTTCAAACATGTGTATTTTAGATTAAGGTGACAAACATATGACCACTGTTCCTACAGATGACAATGGGCATTTGCATCTTCAGGGAGACATAATTGATTTATTCTACAAATCTACAGATGTTCATTCAACAAAATCCATTATCTTTTCCCTCTTAGAATCCCTCACAAAATAAAATGCCTTATAAGAAGCCTTTGAATGAAATAATGTGGCATGCATACAGGCATTTTTATCCTCCTCCACCTTTTTAGCTAGTCTCTGAAATAGGGATTTCACTAAGCTTTTCCCTTCCTGTTTCCTTTTAAAAATTCTGAGGAATAGAGAAAGAAAATATTCATTTGGAACAAAAAATAGCAAGGAATGAGAACTTTCTCTCCATGAAGACGCACAATAAAACTTTACAAGGCAATAAAACTAAGAGCAAGTAATTGAAGAGTTAGGTTTACATTCTTCCAACCTGTCCTGTTGTGGGTAAACTTTAGGCTTTATTAGGTTTATATGAGCAATTTTCATATGAGAGTCAAGATAAAAGACAATCTGCCTTTTATAATTTAATCAAAATATCTGCTTTGGTGTACTATAATCATCATTGTCTTGTAGGTTTTGTCCCACATTGTTACCACATCCCACAACGATTAAAAATGGAGTTGACTGGGACACACCCCTGGAGATGAATCTGTTGATATAAGTGTCACTAAGAGGTGGATACCTACATTTCTACAGAAGAAGGGGAAAACTTCCTGAAATGCAGAGGCTTTGGTTGCAGTGAAGTCCATGAGAGGGCTCACCTTGAATTTAATGCAATTTAGGTCACAGCCTCAAAAAGGAATCATAATTTTTCACTTCAAAGTAGGTGGATGAGAAGGTTCCAATCAGTAAACCTAATAACTCAAAGTATTCTTGTCATGACTCATGTGAGGGTTTCACCTCCACCACTCCTCATCCACTAACAGGATATTTTCATCACTTCTTTGGAATAGTCCAGTACTCTAGCCTTTCTAAAGGTGACCTCTTATCATGGAGAAAGCTGTACCAAAACCACAACATGGATACAGTTTTGATCCTGGGTCCTCAGCCTGATTAATCTCTCAGAGATGCAAGCAGAATTGCAGAACTGAAAACAAGAAATCACTACATGTTAATCTGAGTAATTTATGATTGCAGAGCATCCAGGCACCCAAAAAAAGGACATAAATTTTTGCTAAAAATTAAGTAAATCTGTATAGAAGGGAGTAGAAAGGAATGGTAGAATTTTTGGTAGAAAGTGAAGACTAATGGAAGAAAGTAAGTTTTAAATGAAAATATCCGCTGGACATTTATATTTACAATTGCTATTTATGTAAAGAAATTGACATATTAAAGGTTTAGGCATAACATGTCAGTTTTCCATGTCTTTAAAATGTTGTTGGGCACCTATGATAAACATCTTCCAAACTTCACAATCTAGGGTCTAGCTGTGATTCTTCAAATAGAAAAACAATGACTGTTCTCATTGCTTTCAATAGGAGTAGATATAAATCAATTCTGGAAGATATTTAAATTTCAAACTCAAGTGTACAAGGTCACAGAAATTCTCAGATCCAAGCCCTAGACACCAAGTGATTTCACTGGGGACAGAAACAGAAAAATGTTTTGTGTGGGTCAGTTACCTAAATATTGTCGTCTAATGCCATTTATGATGCCTTCTACCCAATTCCTGTTTGTCACTTCTCAAAAGACACACACCTTCTGTGGAATCTATGATATTTACATCGAGCCACACAGGCATTTCATATACCCTATGGTGTCTGAAGTAATATTACAATCTTTTTTTAAGACAACATAAACCTAGCCTTCATATCTAACAATTTGTTCATACAACATAGATAGCTTTCATTTACTCTGTCAGCATAGTAAGCACCTGACAAAAGTTTAATTTTGAGTGGTGTAATCGGACTTTATCTCACAGAGGTATAGTAGGTACTATTAAGAGTGCAGATCAAAAGTGTTCATGTAGCAGACTCTGTATAATTTCTATAACTTAGAAAAAATTAGTCTTGAGGTCTGGAGCAAATCACAGATACAACAGTTCCAGAGAATACATCCCAGATAGTGCACTGAGCATTACTTCTTGATAGAAGCATCATCACTAATTTCCAGGGACAGTAACCTTGATCATCTTTTGGTGTTTTCACTCTTGATAAGTTAACTATTGTTAGCATTTTACTTTCCAAGCAAAGGTCTTGAGTTTTCCCCCCCTATTTTATTTAAAATACCCAGAATGTGCATGAGTCTCTAGGTACCATCACCTGACCATAAGTGAAAATCTGCTGCAAAAGAGATTTTAAAGTATTTCAACCCACTGTTAACTCTTCAGTTCTGCTAAGCCCACCAAACGGAAGGGATAATGAAGATATCAGTCACATCCCAGGGGAAATAAATACAGTTTGTTCTGGTCATCAAATGCCATGGCTCACAAGCAGATGCTGACACCAGCCAACAGCAGCTCAAAAGGCATTTTCAGTTTGAGGAAGTAAGATGGATCACCATAATGCAGCACAGCAGAATTTCTTTAGTAACACAAAGTATAAGAATCTACCTTTCACCTTGAACAAAAATCATCGATCAAATTTTAAAGAAAAGGATAGGAATAAATTCTTAACAATTTTCCCATTCAGAAATCATATTCAGTGTGTACATTAAACTTCATTTGTAGAAGGTCACACTAGAACAGTCGGAAACTACCAACAATGAAATTGGTTACAATATCTAATTCACTGTTACATAAAATGCATTTACGGTATAATAGCTAAGGAATGCATGTAATTTAAAGAGGCCTGCTACAGCAATCACTGAGACTGAACATATCGAGTATAGTAAATCTCAAATCCATTGCATTTAGAGTAGTGTGCGAGAACTTTTTCTGTCCAATGAGAGCCCCCTGGCTTAGCAAGAAAATCAGACTGTCACCTTATTATATTAGATTAAATCATTACTGACAATCAGAAGAAGTATTCCTTTTGATTTTCATTGGCTGTGTTTTGCATGCTGAGCTCACTTTTCAATGCAGATTCAGCACTGTCTTCATTTTCAGATCCTTTTGTCTCATTTTTTGAGTATATGCTTTTTTTGTAAATGCGTATGGCTATGGCCGTGATGCAAAGTAGGATGAATATGACAACTGCTATCACACCTACAAGAAGAAAAGAGAAAAAAAGTAATGAGAAAGGACAGACAAATAATAACATGTAGGTCAGAGAACAGGACAAAGGAGGAATGACTACATCACATAATGGAAGGGCTTACAGGAAAGCCTGAGAAATGAGGAGACATAGCTGCTTTCAAATCAGAAACAGCACTCTAATATAAGTTTCATGGTGATTCTTTCGAAATTTTGCACTCTGTTAAAAATAATGATTATATAAAATCCACAGATGGCTATAATTTTTGAAATTTTTGAATGGAAAACCACTAGGAGCCTTAGAGTATTTTCAATAAGAGGATTTCTTTTTCTCCTTCACTTCAGGCCTTAGATCTCTGCTGGTTTGGGAACTCAAGCCACTACAGATAAGGAATAGTAAGGTGAGATATTGCTCACAGAGATAAGCAAGTCCTTACAGACTGCCAGCCCACCTCCTCTCTTCCTCATTCATCCTGCCATAATGGTCTTAGGACCTTAGCTTCATGAGTCAGAGGATGGGCAGGGGAGGAATTTGAGGAGATGTGAAACAGAAGGGAAATGAATCATGTTTGTCAAAGAGGCAGAAAATAGGACTAGGCTGTTGTGATGGAAAAAACACTAAGCAGTCTGGAAAACAGTTGTAATGCAGTGGCTCAGATACAGTAGACAAAGGGACAGTCTATTGCACAGCTTGGTCACCACTGCAAGAAAAATATAAATACCTAGTCCCTTAGCACTGTGGATAAAAACAGAGCATCCAAAATTCAGCAAATGCCAATTTTCTTGATCAGCTTTGAGCAGCCATCCATCATTGTAGGAATATAAAAGTTTTCATACAGTAGATCCTTTTCTGAAATGGACTTTGCAATCAAAGTAAATCTTGATTTTATTTAGATTAACTAGAACAGTCATTCTTTGATTTCAATCACAGTAGATGCTCTCTCTAAGGACTTTTCTATACATTTGTTTTGTCTGAAATAGCTGAACTGATAATATTCTCAGTTATATTAATTTAAGAGTGTTTAACCTTAAATTTTACTGAATGTCACACAGTTTGCTTTGTTTTGACTTTTAAACAAACATAGGCACTAGAAAAATTGTGATATTGTGAAAATTTGCATATTCCCAAATGTGTTTAGCATTAAAAAAAGTACTATTATTATTATTACGTTAAAAGGATTGTACTTATTATAGCTTGAATTTAAAAAAATTACTTTGTTAGCACACTTAAAAATCCTCACCCACAGATGTCTAGTACATAGTGATCTTTATGTACAGATACTTTTGTAAAACAATATCAATCTTTTGAAACAGTAAAGCAAGTTTTGACAAAGACAGACATGTAAAAAACTCAGAAAACATATCTTTAAATTCTGACTTTCCTTGAAATCAGTGGTGAAATTCTCATTTGGTGCGTATATAAAATTATACAGACATAAGTATCACTTTAGAAACAGGGAAGCTTCTAGGCTTAATAATCTCATTTTAGTGTCTTTGGTACCACTTTCTTAAAGGTCACTGGTCATGCAGTGTGCTTTTGCATGCACTGACCATAGCAGGTAAATGCAAGATGCAACAGTGACTGCAAGTTCTTATCCTGACTCATAGACCTAACTCATATCCTAAATCATAGACCTAAATTATTTTAACTTCCAATGAAAAGCCTGGCCAGTTTTATTCTACTAAATTCCACTATTTCCTTTGTCTACTGAGGCTTTAAAAACTCTTAGAAAGCAAATATTTTCAGAGTTTAAAAGACAGAGGGGTGACCTTTTCATCCCACTGCCCTTTCTGCCAAAGTATCTATGCAAATTAAAACAGAATTCTACTGCCAAAACATCATCTTCATGAGTGAAAACAAGTTTTATTTCCTCACCTCCTCCTGAAAGAAGAAGTACTCCTAGAAATTCTCACAAAGGATGATTGTCACAGGAGAAGATACTATGCCTTGAAAGAAAAATTGAACTCACAGAGACATATGCTTACCTCAATTCTGGTAAAAGGAGTTCAGTTTCTGATAAGAGTGCCCAACCCCAAACTGTCCCTGTTAAGGCTCACTTGAGTACTCCTAATTTCTGCTAAAGAGGCAGAACTCGTAGATTTCATGTGAGTGTCCATTTGAGATGGATCCTTCACATAGGATTCATATGAGATAGATCTTAAGGACAATCATCCAGAAAGGCACAGTGGTGGAACCTGTATATCCTGATTATCATTCCTTTACTTTAAGCACACACATCTATCCTAAGCTTCATGCTCTATTTGTTCTGATAGGCATAAACTGTAAAGGAGCTATCACCATATTCAGTTCAGAAGTAACTGAATTCTACATGGTTTTTCTTCTATTCTGATAAAAAAAATGTATTTTGAAAAAAGTTTATGAATGGTCAATTGTAGTTCTATCTGAGCTGATAAACACGTCCAAAAGAAATATGAAGAAAATGAAGAAGAGATATATTTCAAGCCTATTATTATTATATATATATATTTTTTTTTTTAACATGAATTTTAAGGTGTAAATCAATGCATGTGAAAGTCTTTCCAAGAGTACATTTTCTTCCAAACAGCAGGAAACCAGGATAAAATTTCCTCAGACTGTCAGAGGATTGATTCAAGCAGTGTTAAACCTCATATTCTCAAGAAAAAGTCTTTGTTGCTCAGATTTATTAAAGCAGATTTTAAACTTGACTTTGTAGCAAAAGGTAATTTTTGATGAAGTCAAGAAGAAATGATGGTTCTTTCTTAAATATATTCTTTTTTCACAACAAATCCAAGTACTTTTTGAAGTCATAGACTCCACTATTATGCAAGTTGAAATTCTGTCCTTACTACCTTGTTTTTCAGCAGAATGCTTCAATATATGAAAACACAGCTGAATTTATGTAATAAGAAAGTCTACCAAGTGTAGTGAAAATGAAGAGTTTTACTAGTTTCTGTATGCACACAGAGCTAAACTGACTTCATCACTAACAGATTCACAGTTAGGAAAAAACGGTTCCTGTGGATTTTTTGCAGTCCCTATTACCTCCAATAATTGCAGAGTCACTTCTGATTGCATTAGCTAAGGGCTTTCCCTCATCTATTGGTCCAGAGTGATCTGCAGCAGAAAAAAAAAAAAAAAGAAAACGACAGACAAATAGGAGACGTGTTTTTTAAGAAATTCTTATGCTGTTATAGTTCATTTACAATATGGCACAGTGGCAGTAGTGTGGGTCAGTAAGCATGCACAGAACACTAATGTAGATGACACTTTGCAGAGATAAAAAGAAAAATGCAAACATTCAGATGAAAAGAGAAAAGCTAGAAAAAAGGAAGCAAGTACATATAAAAGAGAATTATTTACAAACTACTCCTGAGATGTTAACCCACATGGAAAAATAAAAAGTCAGTTGTGATTCAGGTCATGAGTATTCTATTTGGATTTTGCTTCAGAGATCAGAACAAGTGATAACCATATGCTACCTGCAAATGAATGGGTTGTTTCACTTGATGTTGAGTCAGCTCCAGTTAAAGTACCACAGTTGGATTCAGTGAAACGCCCTTTTACAATGACAGGGGCTGAGCTGCTGTGGTGCAGTGCAGCCTTCAAAGGAGCAATGTGGTTGAACTGCACTGAAGATAGACAGCCAACAAACCCCTGAGAGTTTGCCTTCATAGTCTCCTCATCTACATCGCTGTTTTCTGTTAATCAAAAGGAACAGAACACAATTAATCATAGTACAAATGTACAAAATAAAGTGTCAGAAGAATAAATGAATAATTAACCTGTGTTCCTCTGAGTATATTTGAATTGCAGCAACATATGTAGATTCACTGAATCCCTTTCTTGTCTGACTTTAATGAAAAGGCAGTCAGGCCCACTCAAGCCTCCTCCCATTTTTTTTTTGAACAGATGACAATTGCTAATCTGCTGAGGGAAATGCCTTTAAATTCCTATAGCAAGTGCCAAAGCAAAAATTTTCTAGTGTAAACAAAGTATTTAAATGAAAATGCAACATTTTTGACTCTGCAAAATATAATATTGAAGAATGGATTCCAGAAAAATGCATTTTATTCGATTTCTTCTCATAAATGAATAATTTTGGAATATATTCATTCCATAGACGCATACATCTACTCCATTCCAGAACCACCAAGTCTGTCAAAACAAAAACCCTGAAGATCTCAGATCCTCAGATCCTGGAAATCCATCAAGATATTTTCTGTGAAAATTTAAAAAATAAATAGTGATCAAATTTACTACACATTTTAAAATATGATACCATTATTGGTACTACAAAGGGGGAGGGGAAAAAAGAAAAAAGAAGATACCTCCTCACTTTGTCTACCAACATGACAAGTACAGTGCATGTTAGAATTCTCTGTCAATTCACAAGATAATGCTCACTAATGCACTACTTTTGATGCAGGAAACAGTTTCTTTACTCTGACAGTTCTAATTCAAGCAAAATTTCTGGAAGTATTAGTTATAAAAGGAGGACTCAGAAATAAGTTTGCAAATGAAGTGGTAATTTTATCTCATTCATTTTCACTTCCAACTTGTCCTGGAACCCACAAATGAACTAGTGATCTTTACAATAACTACCATAATATTTTAAGTTTTACCGTACAAACCTCAATAAAGTTTAGGCTAATAGTGAAAAATGGGATAATGTCTTCAGATAGAATGTTGCAATATAGCAGAGTAACATTTTCCTCAACTAATCTCTGCTTAGTGCAGTGATAATAGACTACTTGATAGATGGACGCCAGCCAAAAGTCTTCTCACCTACATGGATGGATTACATAAGATGCTGGCTGTCTTTGCTTTCTTTGCAGCTGTTTTCAGTATCTATGCACTGAAGGATCTGACAGGATGGGATGCTTTAAGAAAAATATGAACACTGAAGTAGCAAGAAAATATTTTCACAAACCTCCTGTGATAAAAATATATCTCTAAATATGAGTCACATTGAAAACCTCAAGAGGAGAGTAGTTTCTATTATTTTTTAGTTTCTATATGTATAATAGAAAAGGAAATACTTTAAATCCTTTGATTTCACTTGACTCCTTGACTAGAAAATATTGCTGGGATAAAGGAAAGCTTTATATTGATTTAATCTTGATGATAAAAGTGAAGGGGCTTGGGGAAGACCACCATCATTCACTTTCCCACTAAGTAGAATTTAACTGACTGAAAGTGACATTCAAAAACAGTCACAAGTTGTTTATTGGGGACTGTATATCACTGTAAACTGAAGCTATGCTTCCTTAAGTATCTTAAGAGCAATTAATTTGCTAAGTGTACCCAAGTTCACCATAAACAAAATTACTCCACCTATATTGTCTTCTTAATTTAAACAAACAAAAAACATCCCTAAAAAAGGAAAACACACTCAGTAATTCTCTTTAACTGTTTCAATCATTTGTCCTTGTGAAGCAGTCACAAAGAAATACATCAGATATACAGCTCCTATTAGAACATTTTAAGAAAAGAACTGTGATGCCTTCTAATAGCTTTATATCTTTCATTACATCATCCAAAACTTCATCCACACCTCGAGGCGAGGCTGGCCCAGCTCAGAGCAGAGGGGACAATCCCCTCCCTTGCCCAGCTGGTGATGCTGTGCCGGAAGCCCCCCAGGACAGGGTTGTCCCTCCTGGCTGCCAGGGCACTGCTGGCTCATGTTCAACTCACCACAGAACCCAGGTCCCTTTCTGCAGTGCTGCTTCCCAGCATCTTGTTCCCCATTATATCTTTGCATCCAATTACAGATTCTGGAACTTATCTGTGTTAAAATTCATAGAGTTGGCAACTTCACAGCCCTCTAAATTGTTGCTATCTCTCTGTAGGGCCTCTCTCTCTGCCTTCAAGGGAGACAATAGTTCCTCTTAAATTCGTATCATTGTCAAACTTACTGTACCTTCAAGTCCTGCATCTAAGTAACTTATCAAGGTGTTGAAGAGCACAGGACAGTGACAGATTCCCAGCCTGATGTCACCTCATTCACTGTAACCCATTGTGCCTGATCTGTAACCCAGTTGTTCACCCATCCCAAGATATGTTAATCCAGCTGTGAGCTGGATATTAGGTCCAGAAGGATCCTGTGAGAGACAGCTTCAAAAGATTTACTGAAAAAGATTATGTCAATTGGCTTCCCTTGATCAATTTCGTTTCATAAGCAAGATTTTCCTCTGATGGACCTGTACTGGCTGTGATTAATGACTGCATTGTCCTTCAGCTGTTTTTCAGTGCCTTCCAGATTAACCTTCTCAATAATTATACCAGGCACTGAACTGAGACTGACAGGCTTGTAGTTTCTTGGGTCAGTCTTCTTACCCTCACTGAAAACTGGGACAACATCAGCAAGCTTCCAGTCAACTGGAACTTGTACAGATTCCATCATTCAAAAACCACTGAGAGAGGCCTAGCAGTGACATCAGCCAGTGTTTTGAGTATTCTTGCTTGAACAGGTCCCATAGATTTATAGGGATCCAGCTGGAGCAGGAGATTCTGCGCAAGTTTTGTTTGAAGAAAAAAAGTGAGTCATGCTCAAACGCAGAAGAGCTCAGAAAAGTACTTCTCCAACTGAAGATAACACTTTAAAAAAAAAAAAAAACTTCCTTGTGTGGTTTTCCTGAACATTTTTAAGTACGAGAAATACATGATTTCACATTTTGTTAACTCCTTATGTTCAGACCTCTTCACTGCAACAAACATTCATTACTTTTTTCCTCTGCCTTCATGAAGTCTTCTTCAGACTCTAGATAGGACTTCACAGGAATCAGAATGAAAAGCAATCAGATTTATAAAAGAAATAATAACTCTCATTTGAAAGGGGGAGAAACGTATGTTTTCTTCAGGACAGATTCTGAGTCAAATTGGGTTAAGTGACCCACTTGAGGTCATTGTAACTCTGCTTTGCACTGCTGTGTCATTGCAAAGTCATCTGTCATAGGGTGACTTTACCTTTAAGGTGGATTTGAGAGCTAAGGAAGTTGAAGTTGCTGGGGACTGATGGGAGTCTTTTCTCCTGACCAATTATCGGTCATTACTAGGAATTGACAGCAGTTTTGACCATTGTAAAGTGGGATCAACTTGTGAACCCTACCTTAAGATGTAAAGTCAGGGCACTTTTGGGCTCTTTGTTTCCTGGCTGTGAAAGGTAACAGAGCTTCAGGCCTCCCGTTCCCTGCCCAGGCCATGCGGCCGGGTGGGGGCTGGGCTGGGCCCAGCGGCTCCCGGCTGGGAGATGGGGCCTGCGGGGATTGCCCCGGGCTCTGGCCGGGCCAGGCCGGTCTCTGGCTCGGCTGCAGGTTTTGCTGTGACTAAATTTACTATAAACTGCCGAGTGAAGAAAGAAAGGGGCTCTGAACCTGCAGTGGGCTGAGGCAGCGACTACACTTTCCAGAACAGCCATGAGGAATCTTCTATCGAAAACAGCTCCAGCTCCTGCACCGGCAGAGGTCACAGAGCCATCTACAAAAGCCTGGGCAAGATTTTAACCCTTTTATTACCCAGATGAGACTTGCAGATTAATCTTTTTATCCAGAGAGGGAAAAAGAGAGTGATCAACATGAAAAGAGACTTTATAAACTACCAGTGACAGGAAAGAAAAGAAGCTTCAGAAAAGGTACAGAATATGGAGATGCATTAATTAAGATGAAATATTTTTGTTAAAGCTATGGAGATGGACAATAAAGTCCTGAAAGAACTCCTTTAATTCATGATAGAGTATGTAGGGAGGAATGGAGTGTTCAAAGTGTAGATTTTGAGTAAAAAGTAGAGTAATTGTGATACAGTGAAGTGCTAGAAGATTTGAAGCCTTGGGGGGCAATGAAAAAACTGTTTTCTAGTGAAGCTCACAGAGACAGATGAAGAAGACTTTTACATTTGAATAACTCATCCTTAAAATGACATCCCTAAACTCATGGCCCATACACACCTCAGAGTGATGTGAAATGGGAGGAGTGGGCTCTAATAATAGCAGCTCTGGGCAGCTAACATCAGGGCAATAGAAAACTATAGCAGAAATAGTTTTCTTGTGAGAAACTCCATAGATTAGCAGAAAGAGACTTCTGTTTCTCTACAAAGACTGATGAAAAGACTCTAGCAAAAACTGGGACTGTTTTAAACACCAAAGTTCCGAAGTTTTTGTCTCTGTTGTCATGTGAACAAGGGAATGGTGGGTAGTGGGGGATAAAAAAGGGTTTTCTGGAAGTTTATTCTGGTATTGTTATTCTTGTAGTTTTGTTAATAAACTGTCTTTATTCCTTATAAGTTTTAAGCCTGTTCTGCTCTTGTTCTAATCCATATCTCACAGCAAAAAATAAGAATCTTTTTTTAGTTACTGGTTTAAAGCCACGACATTATCATATAACTGAAGAAAATTCTGCCTCTGAAATTTTGTAACTGTATAGCTCTTTGGAAGACATAATATTGGTCCTGGTCAAAAGACCAATATGCAATTTGTCTAAAAATGTAAATTTCCATAAATTTAATCAAATGCATTTTTACGTAAATGGATATAATTTTTGGTGTTATATAACAGATGAAAGAAGCTTTTAATCTGTACTGGTCACTGTGGTATTAGCCTTACATGAGTGTGACTGCAATAAATTACAACACTTCAAAATATTATACATTCCTGATTCAAATTTATCATCAAATTGTAAAGTTTGGAAATGTTCGTATCAATTTTCTTGTCGTAGTTTATATTTCAGCTAATATTGCTTTAAAGTTATGCTTAAGTGATCATTCTCTTTTCAATTTTCTGTGCACATCTACATGCCAGTTCTTTTCTGGACTGTGAGTTTTAGTTTTAAAATCTACATTTCAAAAATATATATTTCTGTTTGTGTTAGAGGTACTTAGTTTTCCAGTAAGAAAACAAATCAGCTACACTGAGATTCTCCTAATGATAACTAAACAATAACTAAGATTTTTTTTATGGTCTATAAACATGGTTTCTAAATTTCTTTAATACATTTTAAGCTATTAAGCATTTAGTAATTGTTCTCATAAAAATAACTATCACTGTATGCGTTTTATTATATATTTAAAATTATTCTACTACCTGTTACAGATAACACTCATAATTGAAAACAACAGCCACCTATTTGGCAGATAAAGAATTAATTGGATCTCCTTACTCAAACATTTGTGTAGAGCAGCTCAATGTCTAAACAGGGACTGGTGACAGGTGTTGCTCCTCTGGGGCCCACACTGATACCATTTCTGCTCAATGTCTTCTCTAGTGACACCAAGGGTAGGATTGAATGCATCTGAAGCAAGTCTGTGGATGACATTAAACTGGATGTCTCCATTGACACACCTGGGAGATGGAATGCCACCTAGAGGCATGCTTGAGACTGGAACCAAGTGAATCATGAAATTCAACAATGGCAAGTGTAAAGTTATGCACTTGGATCTGGGCAATCCCCATTATCAATATGGACTTCGGGGGTGAACGGATTGAGAGCAGCCCTGAGGAGAAGGACTTGGGGGTGTTGGTGGACAAGATGCACAACCATGGGCCAGCAATGTGCACTCACAGTCCAAATGCCATTTGTATTCTGGGACTGCTCAGGGCCAGACTGGATGCAGCTCTGAGAAACCTGGTCTAGCAGAAGGTGTTACTGCCTATCACAGGGAGGTTGGAACTAGGCAATCTTTTAGGTGCCTTCCAATCCAGGCCATTCCATGATTCTGGGCTGCATCCAAAGCATCGGGGCCAGCAGAGCAAGGGAGGTGACTCTGTGCCTCTCATCTGCTCTGGTGAGACCACACCTGGAACACAGCATTCAGCTCTGGGGTTCCCAGCACAAGAAACGCATGGACTTTTTAGAGCACGTCTAGAGGAGGACCGTGAAGATGATCAAAGTACTGGAGCAGCTCTCCTATGAAGAGTGTCTGGGAGTGTTGCGGTTGTTCAAGCTTGAAGAAGAAAAGCCTCCAAGGTGATTTTATAGCAGTCTTCCAGTACCTAAAGGAGGCTACAAGAAAGCTGACGAGTGACATTTGACATGTGCCTGTAGTAATAGGACAGAGGAGAATGGCTTTAAACTTAACAATTGTAGATTTAGTCTGGAAATGAGGAAGAAATTCTATGCCTTTGTGGGTGAGAGACACTGGAACAGATTGCCTAGGGAAGCAGTGCATGTCCTCATGGGAAGTGGCCAGTGGCTAAAGATTTGAATGACCTGGTCTGGATGAAGGTGTTCCAGAACACAGCAGTGGTGCTGGAACTAGATGATCTTTTATGTCCTTTTCAACCCAAAACACTCTATGATTCTGTGAAATTAATTAAAAGAGAAGTATCCTTTAAATTTGCACCAGCGTCAAATCTTCCTCTCTCATTGGGTTTTACCAATGTGAAAGGTAGGAAAATAACAAGATCTTGAGAATTTTAGTCCAGGCTATTGCTGTTTTCCTTTAAGAACATAAAAAATGGTCATTGTAGATAGGTAAATTTCATTTTCATCCTTATTGCAGAGAAACAGGCATATTTTGAGGACTCATCATGAGAAATAGAATCTCCAACCGATTTGACTTACATTACCATATTCTTCACAATTGTTTGCATCAAACTCTAATCACAGGAAGTTTTTCAAGTACGATACATGATTAATAGTATTATATCATCTTTGTGTACTATTTGAATTTGATTTGTTTTTTCTCCAGCATAGAAAACAAAGTTGTATTTCTTAATGCTTGATTGCAAAATGAGAGAGAAGTGTACAATTATTTTTAATGGAACCCACTTGATAATTTTTTCAGGAAGCACTTATTTGTGATTATATCTGTATTTCAACAAGACTGAAGTTTCTACCTTGATTATGACTCTGTGTCAAAGTAAATCCACAACAAATGAAATGTCTTTCAATGGCATTCGCGTTATTTTCCATGTCTCACAATGACATTTTGATGCATGTTTTAGAAAACCCTGTAGTTTTAGAAAACACTGCGGTGTTCCACTTACCTAAAATCTTGCCAAGTGTGAGAGACTTGATTGCATTGAATTCTGTGCCTGAAGACAGAATAAACTTCATTCTTTCCTTCTGGTTAACCTATAGAATGATAGAGTGAGGAACAAAGTAGAACAAAGAAAGATGTAGTAGTCAATATTTTCAAAAAAAGCAGGCAAGCTCAAGGCTAAAAATAAGAGGGTCTGAGGGAAGCATTTGTTATTTATAGCATAAAAACTCATCAGGAAATAGAATCTCAGCTTCCTTAGATCACTGATTATAACTCATATTCTTAAGCATCCCACTTAATAAGCCTTTATTTATCTTACTGATTTGGCTGATTCCTTCTTTTTTCACCTCTAAGATGAATAAAAATAGCAAACCTTTAAGAATATGAAAAAGTCTTTTTTCATTTTAAAAAGGCACTCAATATTTAACTTAACAATGATCAAATATTATATTGTAAATATTCTGCTTCTCAGGGTACCTCTACAACAACATCAAGACAAGTACCATTATAAACCCAGGTTCTACCACAAAATACTAAATTGTAACATACACTTTGAATTTAAAATTTAAAAAAAAAAAAACAAAACTTTTTTGCATGTTAATTATCAACTATTAGCAAAATAAATGTTTTTATCTTTTCATGAAATTTCCACAGAAAGACCAAAAATATCCCCCTTACTAGCCACATTAATTTTATGATGTAAAAAGAGGCCACAAATAGACTTTAATTTTTTTTATCTGGGTGTATATTTGTACAGTAGTTAAATGCATAATTTAAATAAAAAATAATGAAAAATAAAAAAATGAAAATGCCAGACCCAAAACAAACAACAGCAGTCATACAAGTTTACCAAATTTTGAAAATTTAACCATCAAACAATTAACTGCATTTTCATATAAAATTATGAGCTGATAATGACTTTTTAAAATAAACAAAATTAACATCAAAGAGATTGGCTAACATTAATTTTGACTGTGCATGATGAGAGTGTTAACTTTGTTTTGATTACTTGAGATATGAGGGCACATTTTATTTGGGGGTAATTGCCTTGTTGCAAGTATTTACTTCATTTTGCTTGTCTACTTTTCTATGATAATTTACTTCCCCCCCCCAACAGAATTACCTCTACAAAGAGCTTTTCCTCCTCTCTGTTAATCTTCACATGTTGTAGTTGTCCATCAGCCATGCTTTTGAAAGTGATGCTGAAGACATCAGGATCTTGATGGCTGTCTAACTTGTACCTAACCTGTAAACTCCCTGCAGAGATAAAGAGAACTAAACTGTAGTACACTACATACACTATAAGCAGTATATTTTATATACTGCTTCACAGGGCTACTTTAAGGGCAAAACAAATGCTTGATTTGTTTAAGGATTTAGCCATGAGAAATGGATATAACTGAGAAACTAAAGGCAACAGAATGAGTAATAGCAATGTCGGAAGAAGGATATAGTGGCAAAAATAGTTGTAAGTTGTCTCAATTTTGATTATTGAGTTAAAATTTGGGCAGAAATTTTATAATTACTTTCAAAATTCAACTGAGAAAGACTCAGTCTAGTAGCTCTCATAACCGTGACTTATCAAACATAACTCATAATTCTTGAATAATGTTTTCCCTGTCCAGTCCTGTAAACCTCTGACCATTTGAAAATTAAACAGAATGCAGTGTACTAACTCCCAGTTCACTTTCCATTCCCTATAGTTAACTCACAGAATACCATCTGTACACAATCACACAAAGACTCAGAGGAGAACACAGAGGCAATGTAGTTTCCTGGTCAAAAATTCCTTCTCAGCTGCAGATGGACCACAGCTTTCAATTCACGCTAGAGAAATCAAGGCCCATGTCAGATCCAGGCAGACATGAACAACACGTTTCATGTCACATGGGGAGGATAATGCAGTTATTCTATATCTAAATATGTGTCTAGGAAAGCAGAGAACCTTCCTTGAGCACAGAACCACTGTGACTGCGAAGAGTCTTTGTTTATAAACCTGAAGATTTAAGTCAGTCTGTGTTTTTTTTTTACTTAAATAAATAAAACAAACCTAGACTTAGAGGAAAGTATGGAAGAGAAAGATCCAACTAACAATTAATTTTTAGCTTAAATAGAAGCATCAATAAATGTTACATGTACTTTTACAGATAAATATATATATATATATATATATTTTCATTGGTATATAAGTAGCTTATGAAATCAATTTAATGAAATGACCTCTGATTAATTTGGGAAATGGATAATACACTTTCAAAAGGATTTTATTTCATTATTTATTTTGAGGATGGGAATTAATAGGCCTCATGAGTATAACGCAGCTCAGGTAAGTTTTAATTTTCATTTCCGAACTTTAAAACCCAAACAATTCTAAAGGATTTTCAGAAATAAACATTTTTGACAACACAATAAAAAAACAGTAGTGGAAGTTGAAAGTACAGTAGGAAGAATGTTTTTCCTGTGCATTGCTTGATGCAGCTGGAAAACATACTTTCTAAAGAAACAACAGGACAATACATAGTTTGTGATTCAGGTCTGGAAATCAGAGAGAATCTGAGCTGACACTTATGATGTTCATTAGTGTTTCCAGACATCCAATCTGAAAACTCACCGTTCCTGGTGAGAATGACCGAGAGGTATTCCTTGTAGAAGGAGCTGACATAGAGCAGTAAGCTTGGTGTCCGAGTTGTTCGAAAGGCAAATGTAATTTCTTCCCGGGTCAATGTCATGTCCGCATAGAAAGAAGAAGCATGAGAACTGGAATTTTTAGCTAATGTGTAGTATTCTTGAAAGTTATATGTCACGGAAGTGCCAGTCCAAAAGTAGGCAGAGATCTCTGAAACAAAATATAATTCAATATTCAAATATAATGCAAAATAACACTAGAGATCTTTTATTTTGGTTGGTTGGTTGGTTATTTTTTTAACACTGCCACACCACAGAAGAAAATAAAATGCATTCTAAACTATTGTGATAAAGCTAAAAAGTAAATATAAATGAAACTAACATTTAGAATTACATAGAAGTATAAGGCACAACTTTGTTCAGGGCAAAAGCAGAAGTGCATTTTTTTCTAGGATATTTTCTATTGATCCTCCTAGTCCTCAAGCACAATATATTGTGTTCTATGTATACTGCTCCTACAAAGACGTGGGTGCAGTAATTTAAATCCTAACATATAGATTAGATTTAGCCTGAAACACATATGTGGTACAAGAGACTGGTCAGGGGGAAAAAGAAAAGGAAAATATAAAGCAGTTTATGGTTTTCTTATGCACGAATCACTTATAGAGGGCTTCTGTAATTCTGTGATTTTGCATAGATGTTTTCTGCTAAAAGCAATTGTCTTAGTGTTTTGGATCACAGCTTTCACACTTTGGAAAAATATCTTGAATTTTCTGAAATCTGGCCCAGTATTTGACAAAAGCTGACAGAAAGATATTATTTAGGTCATCAAACACTGTTAGCAACAAAAGCTACTCTGTCGCTGTGGTTGCTGAATATTACAGTGCGACCATTATTCTCTATGGATGCAGAGGAGGAAAACATTGTTCCTCATACAGTGGCATTAGATCAGCAGTGCTAGATATAGAAATGGCTCCCTCATTTTTGTGGTGGCAGTGATGACAGGGCAGATTTTGTGCTAACTTAGAGGAACATTAAGTTCTGAAACACGAGCTGTTTAGTACTTTGCAGAATGCATTTAATACATGGAAGAAGCAAGTTTTTTTGCAAATCTAAATGATATGCAAACGCCAAAACTTCTAGATAAACTTCCATTTTTGAAATTCAGATGTGAAGACTTGTGATGATCATCTATCAGTATGATAACTTCACCAAAGACTTGGAAAATTGGCTCAGTCCTCTTAGAAGAGATCTTACTTCTTACCACAAAAAGTAGATTAAATTTCTTCTGTTTCTTGGTTTGTTTTCCAAACTCAGACTGTGTTTTGAGATTACTATTTGAAAGACAGAATTCCAAATGCTCTACCATACAAATATATTTCCTAGATTTACTATAGTACCAAAGAATCAAAAAGTTGCAGGAAGATGTTGATCCTCTCAGATAATATGATTCTTGCTAAAATGGCGTATATTGAAGTTATTTCTGAAAGAAGTGTTTAGCAAAACCAACAGATGCTGAGTAAATTCAGCTGAATATTTACCAACATTATGTAAACCGAACATTTTGCAAGCATTTAAACATATCCCTAAGGGGATGTGAAGATCTTGATCTGGATTGTATGGTCCCATTTTCAGTAACTGATAAAGCTAAAAGACATGCTTGCCTTTCTTGCAGAATGGACCAGCATAGGCTGAGAAACTGCAGTCACAAGAAAATCCACTGTATTTCTCTCTGCATTTTCCACCATTGTGACACAGGTTACCATAGCTGCTACAATGTCCAGGACAGCCTGGTTCAACTCCTGGTGTTATCTTTGCTCTCTCTTCCAGATCAAGGGCCATTCCATTCAACCGTAATGAACGAATGCATCCCAAAAATCCCTTCTGCCTGGATGCTGTTCCACCTGAAAATAAATTTATAGGAGCTTTTATACTTTAAAATAACTGATACGTAAAAACATCTTAATAGTTAAGCCTACTTAATAGCCTATGAACAGTATATTATGACTTTCCAAGACACAACCTTATTAATGTGAAAATATTTATAAGTAGCTTTAAATGTACATCTGATTTCTGTTTTGTCAAGTAATTACAGAGAGCCCTTGAAAACTCTATTAATTCACAAGAAAAAGAGGGGAGNAGGGGAGGGAAGGGGAGGGGAGGGGACTAAGACTTTAGGCTTAGAGGAGAGTGACTGAAAGTTGCCTGCTGGAAAGTGATCTGGGGCTGCTGGCCAGCAGCTGTGGGCCAGCTGTGCCCAGGTGGTCAGGAAGGCCAATGGTATCCTGGCCTGCATCAGCAACAGTGTGGCAGCAGGAGCAGGGCAATGACTGTCCACCTGTTCTCAGCACAGGTGAGGCCACACCTCGAGCTCTGGGCCCCTCACTACAAGAAAGACACTGAGGAGATGGAGTGTGCCAGGAGACAGGAAATGGACTGGTTAAAAGGCTTGAGAGAGTAATTCATATGAGAAGCATCTGAGGGAACTGGGGTTGTTCAGCTTTGAGAAAAGGAGGCTCTCTACAACTGCCTGAAAGGAGTGCGCAGCCAGGTGGGGGTGTGCCTCTCCTCCCATGTAAACAGTGACAGGACAAGAGGCCATAATCTCAGACTGTGCCAGGGCATGTTCATGTTGGACATCAGGGGGAATTTCTGCACTGAAAGGGCGATTAAGCATTGGAATAGGCTGCTCAGGGATGTTGTGAAGTCCTGACTCCTGGAAATGCTCAATAAAATGAATGTGGCATTTAGTGCTGTGGTTTAGTTGACAAGGTCATGTTCATTCAAAGATTAGGCTTAGTGAACTTGGAGGTTTTTTCCAACCTTAAAGATTCTATGATACCCCTCAGTTTGTTCTAATATACTTTGTCTCAGAAGGAAGCTGTGTCTATTCTTCAATAACAGGAAGGTTAACGCCCTTCTAGGCGGAGGAATACCAGCCAGGTTATACCTGACTACTAAGCATAGATGATAACTGTACAGAGCAATCCTAAGACTAACAAGAGTAGTTGATTCAAATTTTTTTAACTGTTCCTTATTTTTAGTGCATTTCATGATACTTGACATTTTATTCATCTGTGTTGCTTAGCAAGGTGTGCAACCTACATACCATCTCTCTCTTGTCCTTTGTTGCACAACTTTGACATTGCTTGTCCTTTGCTCTCTTTTAAGAAGTAAAAGCAGAAAATATTCTGTCAACTACAATTCTCATACATTTCCAGTTCTCTTTTGGATAAATACTGCCATGTGATCATTCATTTTAAGTTTCTTCAAAGTTTGTATAATTCTTCGTGTAACATGGAATATCTTGACATAGTTATTGTTATTTTCAGTTATAAGGGAACAAAACTACCTGGTGGTGGCAATTTTATGTCATGTCTGTTAAAGTGGCAAGAAATTGGAACTACATTAAGGTCCCTTTCAATCCTAATCACTCTACAAGTTTATGATTCTATGGTTTTGAGGGCTGCTTTAGGCTTTAGTTCTGATTTTGAAAAATGAGAGTGTATACAACTTTACTTCTTCACAAGAAATAAAGAGTGTTTTAGCCTGAAGAGATCACAGTCTTCATATGTTACTGACTGAGTGACTGGTGACTAAGGAAGGTACTAGATTACTAAGACGACTTGTAAGAAAAGAGTGCCTCTGCAAATGTCATTCTAAAGACAATCTATATTTAATTTTTCTCTAAATCCTTAAATTAATCCCAGACCTCCGTGAATTTTCAGAGTGAAAAAAGAAGACCAGATGCAAAACAAAGCCACAATTCCAGTACAATTATTCACCTGAACATTATCTGAAGAAAACAAACTAGACAACTTGCCTCTAGATAACTCAAAGTTTTCATAATGTCAGGTCCATGGACAAGAGTATATAATTCTACTCGAATTTTCCAGATTATTTAAGAAAAAGTATCACTCTATTCAATGGCCAAAAAGTTGCCAGGAAGTGCAACTGTTAATACAGGATATTATTATTATTATTATTATTATTATTATTATTATTATTATTATTATTATTATTATTATTATTATTATTATTATTATTATTATTATTATTATTATATTTTTAGGAGGAGGATCAGAAAAAATAAAGACCAACTAATTGTCTAAATAATTAGAAAAATCTTTACACTTGATAGTGCCAAAACACAAATAGCATTAGACCATTTCATTAATCTAATTTTAGGTATTCATGTAATAGCAGTTACATGGCAAGTCAAGTCAGAGAACAGCAACACAATTTACAATTTAAAATACAAAAATATGATCTTTCCATTAATAGATGTAGTGTCTTACTGTGAATATAAACTAATCTCAAAACTTCTCCTAACTCCACTGTAACTGTAACAATATACTCATTTGGTATATTTTTTTGTTATGGATATATTTGGATATATTGGATATATGAATATATATTGGATATATTTTTTTCTCTATGCTTTTAATCAAAATATAAAATTTTTCAATGTTTGGTCTAGTCTCCATCTTCTTCCCTTGATACTTTTTGAGGCACAGGTACAAATTTTTTGTCAGAGCATACAAGAATTCCCACCTTATTTCATTTCTTTCACAAGCATACACATTTTTTGTAGCTACAGTTTAAGAACACTATTTCCCTTAAATTAATTCCTCCCCAATACACAGCAAATAAAACTTATATTAATTTATTATGAGTTTCTCAGAGCAGACATAAAAAAAGGTCTTTATAAAAGTAGGGCCAGCTTTAAATGTTCTTATACTGTACAAAAAACATTTACACCAGAAACTTATGAATTCATCATAAGGCAATATTACATTAAGAACACTACTGTGGAAATAACACATAGCTCTATATAGCTTTCTATAATAGCTAAATAAATGCTAATTAATTCTTTTTTACGCCATTTCTACTTTTCCAACATTATCTTTAAATACCTTAATGTTGTGTTTTAACCTGAGAAGCTGTGGATAAAGAGACACAACAGAATTTCCTTGAAAGTACAGAAATGGCACAACTTCCTTCAGTAGATTACTTATCCTCTCAAAAAAAGGTGTAAATCTAGATCCTTGGATTATCCTTCAAAAGAAGTAAACTTCATTTGAAATCCTGTCCTGGAGTAAATATTGCCCAAGGAACTTAGAGATCTAGAATCTCAAAATAGTGAATAACTCCACAGATTTCTCACAAAGTCTCTCATGTCATCATACAAAGCATTTTCAAAATATCTGGTTGCCAACACTGTTTCTTCCCCTCCTCACCCCAGCATTTTCATATTTTTATTTTGATAATTAGGAAATATTCAATGGAGCACCTACCTACAAAAAGCTGGCTGTTGAGCTGCAAGCGAATATGTCCATCAGGTGGAGCACTGTGAGATCTTTGAGGAAGCTGATCTATTTGTAAGGAAGCTTCTTTGACATTTCGTTCAGCCTTCACATAATGCCATTGGTTGTCATTTAAGGAATGGCGTGATTGCACTATGACTTCGCTAGGTCCATTTCCCACGTCAAAGGAAAAAACCACTTCAGATGGAGCTAAAAGAGGATAGTAGCAATAGACACTTAAATTATTTCATAATTAATTGAGTCACAAAGTAATTAATAGCAGAACAAGCTACTTTAAGATTTAGCCTACTATTTTATGGGATAAGACTGATTGTTTTAGAGGAAGAGTTTACTTCAGGGGCCTGCAGCTCATTCTTCACACTCACTGGCAGCAAGAGCAATGATTTATGCACGGCATGGAAACCAATCAGTTTGTGAACCCCTGGAGAGCATAGCAGTCAAGAAACAAGTGAAATGTGCTAGCTTTGTGATTTTTCAGTTTGGATGAAATGCATCTCCTGATTACATACTAACTGATTGCTGCTGTTAACTATATTTAAATTACCACAACTATAATCCAACCAGCGTCTTCTACTGTCTATTCACTTTTATTATTTATTCATGCAGTCTCTACAAACATCAGGGGGAAGATTTTGATGTAGTTTATAAAATTATGATTTAAATTGAGTTTTTCTCTAAGCAACTTTCATGTTACATAGTTTCATGGTTTGCCTAGAAAATTATAACTGAATCTTTGCAGGTTAAAATAAAAAGATAAGGAATATGCCAGAAAACTAAAGATATGAAAACTGTGAATATTCTCTCTGAAAATCTTTCTTTCATATATTCAAAGACAATCATGTATGAAAAAAAGTATTCCCTAGACAATGGATAGTCATCATTTTGAATTGCTAAGGATTTCATTAAAGGATTATAGAGAAGATTCCATGGATCCAAAAAAAAGAAAGCTTCCTACTTACAATATTGAATCCTCACAGAAAAGCAAAAAAATTAGGAGTCAAGGGAATTAGATGAGCTTCAAACAACATTTTAAACAGGAATTTACTGAACTAGAAGAAAATACTCCATGCAGTATTTTTACTTTCTTTTCACCTTTTAAAATATATTAGACTTTTAAAAACATTTAAATCCTCTTTGACCAAACTTTAGACTGAGAAACGTCACACATTTGCAATCCCTTAAGCCCTAAATCTTGTTGCTATAAAGTGTTTTTCTATAATAGTTGAACCTAAGACAAAAAATTTAAATTGAAAATACATAAACCATTTCACTTACTAAATAAAATAAAGTGTAGTGTGCAGTCAATTTATAAATGGAATTCCTTTTGTAATAAATGACCTCCTCTGCTTAAAAATCAACAGTTTTATATAATAATAGGAAATAATTGATGTCTAAACACAGATCCTCAGAAAAATAAATTAATTTTAGGATAAATTTATTTTACTTAGAAAAAGTTGAGAACTCACTTTCACTTTATTGAGGGATAAAAGAAAAATAACAACAATCGCACAGTAGGTGAATAAAAGCAACAGAAAATCCATCTGACTGGCTGAAAAGAATTTCTGCTGAATGTTACCTTCTGCAGAGAGGTCTTTGTAATCTTCTGGATACTGTTGGAGTTAAGCCTGAAAACACAAGTTCTGCTTTGAACTCACTGAATGGGCCCATTAAATAGCATATCAGAGTGACAGGTGTGATAAATAATGTTACTGTTCATTTTAAAGGCAAGAAAACACATAATAAATATTTTGGAATAACTGAAATAATAAATTATGTTAGTACCACTAAAAATTAACGTAATCTTTAAAAAAGGGAAGCAATCTCTGAAATTCCATGTATGAAGGCTAAAATAACAAGAATGGGTATATGGTCATCCATCGTAGTGTCTGAAGACTAACCAGAATATGTCAGAAAAAAGTGAAATGTATGATTACTTAACAGTTCACAATATTTTAAGTATTTTTACTAATAGCAGCAACACTGAAAATCTGAAAGAAAATTTGGATTTATAAGAACCACCAGGAAAATATGCCATGGGATATGGAAAGATAATACTGGATTCTAAAATTTGTTATCTTGCAACAAAGGATATAGGTACAGAGCATTTTGGTAATTTCTTAGGCATTACAGGGAATTCATCCAGGAGTTCTCTTCTAACACAAACATATTTTTTGGGTCCTACTTACATTGGTGTTACTTAGAAACTTTCTAAGCATTGCAGAAACTCTTGTAAACCTAGTTAGCATTCAAACATAAGCAGAGCACAGCTACAGACTGGTAAAGTGGAGTGGAAGATGCAGTTGATGGTAATCATAGAGAGTGGTCAGTGGTCAGCTATGCCTAGAACAACTAACAGAAAGCACAGCTATGGAGAACCATCCGGAGTATTGAGTGTGAACATCATGTGCAGAAGCAAAAAGGATTACCAACTAATATGCTACAGAATTCAAAATTCTAGCATTTTCTATATAGGAAATTATCATGTAAAGTTTAATTGCACTCATCCTGGTGAGTAAGTTGTAAATTTGGGCAGACAAAGGCCATCAGTAGTTGAGTATTGGACTGTTTTGAACTACTTCCAAAGAAACTGCAGAAGCCCAACCAAATCAATACACCATAGTGTTTCCAACCCTACTTTAAATTTCTGTTTAACTCTTTGGAAATAAACCTTCAGTGAGCATTCAATAAAAAATAACCAGGCCTTTGGCTAGAACATTTAACCTTTAGTCCTATAAATATTTAGCAGAGCATACTCTTCAGAATTGAATTGGCTTTGTTGCTTTCAACCACTACTTCTTCAGGAAATCAGGAAGAAGATCAACATGCATTTATAACTAATTGCAAAACAAAAATGAGAAATCAAGTATCTTCTTTGAGACAAGTATCTTCTTTTACTTAACCTGTTATAAAATACAGTTAGGATGCACACACCATTTTTGCAAATGTTCTAGAATGTATACACAGAGGCACTACAGTGTTTATAACTTCATAACACCAATAGAAGAGCTCTAAGTTTCACATTTTCTATTGAGTTTCTGGATCTGACATTTTTTGTTTGAAGCTAGACTTCAAAGTCTAAATATCACTACCCCATAAATAAAAGAATTAAAGTTTGAAAACAATCAATAAAGTATTACAAAAAAACTAGTCTTTCCAAGTACTGAATGTCTAATGTTAATGATATAAAAAGTTCTAAATATTTTCTCACATCATCATCAAAAACAGTGCCATCTGACATTTACATTATTGTTATTTATTATTATACAAATAAAAGACATTAATTTATTTGAAATTATTAGTAGAATACCAAGTGTAGGCTGCTATTTTGCATTCACATTTATTATAAAGGATTTGGAGTTTTATATGATGATGAAATCGAAATCATCTTATACCATATGAAATGCTCAAGTTAATTTTTTTTTTTTTAAAAGGTACTCTTGATGGAAAAATATATTGCTCATTTCTGATTGATATTTTCTTCAGTAAAAACAGGCAGCTCTTGATCCACTAAAACAATCCTTCATATAATTTACATATAACATACAAAAAATAATAAGTCTTCCCACTCAACAAATTAGGGTGTCTACGGAAATGAAGAAATATCTCTATATGCTACACAATAACGAGATAAATTTACTTTTTTAGATGCTGAAATTACAGACCTTTTTCAGCCTTTTGCTTTCTCTCACACCTCCCTACTCATATAGTCATTTAAAACCCATAAGAATGCTGTGGTTTGTATGTTCATGAATGAATGGGACAAGCATCATAAGTCTATCTTCATGTTATTCTGAAAAAACTTATAGACTTCTGACAAATGTCTGAATAAATTCAGTTCTCAGAAGCATTCCTCTAATCTTCCATGATTTACTGTTTATTTTGAAAATGGAAAATCATTAATCAGACAAGACTATCATCATTGCTTCAGAGAGCCTCCACTGAAGTGCTGATCCAGAACACTTTCTGTGTTGCATGACACTGAGTTTACAATGCTGCTGTTCTTTAAACAGTTCACGGAGCTTTAACAGAAGGCAGATCATACTGCCAAAAAAACATGGTGAAAACAATGTTGAAAACACAGTAGTTTTCAAATACAGCACTATAGTTAGAGACAATGAAAACCAAATTCTTTATACTCTACACAATATTCTATAATTAAACTACCTACAGAAGGTGTTTACCTGTTTCATTAACATTAGATGTTAACATGGACAAAAAAATGAGAAAGCAGATTATTTTACTTTTTAATAAAAATATTTAATGTATCTATAGTAATATATTGCAATACTACATATATATTTATTTGTAATCTTCTCCAGAAAATACTGGAGTCTGATAACAAAATTGATGTGGAAAAAAAATGAGGAACTGTCTAATCCCTAGGTAAAAAGTGCTCTTTCTAAAGAACTCTCAGTCACCAGGCAAGCATAAGACTTTTCAATTAATGTGACATTTTAAATTAATTAAAAAGCCTAATGAAAAAATGCTTCATCCTTTCAAATGCTCTTTCTTTTAATAATGAGCAGTGTAAAAATAATACACTGAGTCAACTAAGATAGAGGTTTCATTTTACGTTGGTCACCTCATGTCGGATTAAGTGGGGTATTTAATTCTCTCTTATGCAACAAAAAATTATTTCTGGTTGTAAGTCTGAGAATTTGTGTCTGCACAAATAAAATGAAACAAAATTTTAAAAAAATGTGTGACTTAAGATACTGTACCACAAAAGGTCTGAGTCACACAAGATGACTGAGTGAATCTCCCAACAGCCATATATAATGCCTGGTCTTAAAATGTGGAGGAAGAGAATTTGGAGGCAGAGATGCACTGAACACAAGAAGCAGAAACAATCTTACAGTCAGGGGCTGATTGCTATGCTCTTAGATGAGGAAACCTCTGGGGTAGAAAATTTCCTCAAAAGGATACTTGTTTAGTCTCAGTGCTGTGATTTTTTTCAATAATGATAAAGATCTGGCAATAGTAGTAGAATAAAGGTAGAGAACAGTTTTTAAATACTCCCCCTTTAAATTAAATAAAATCCAATTTTTATAATAATAACAACAAAAATACCATCAGTCATGTTACTTACACTGCAACTCTATCCTTATGAAATCTTGAATTCCAAGGTTCTCTAAAAACACTCCTGAGGAAGCAGTAGTTTTAAAGAAAAATGAGACATCTGCACTAAGTTCTCCATGGAAGGTGGGGAAATGCAGGTAGGATGTCTCTGTGTTGAAGGAAGCTGAATTCCAAAATGTTCCTGGTTAACAGAATGAGAGGATGATAGATAACAGTGTTATGTAACATTTCTAGTGTAAGCTTCATAACCAATAAACAAAGGAAAATTCCCAGGTCTAAGAATGGGCTGCAGTGTTCAGAGAGTCTCACATCCACAGAAGCTTCCCTATTAGTTCATAACACAAAAAGGTAGGCATTATTGGGAATGTAGAATAATGTTTCATCAAGAATAAAGGCGCTCAGCTCAGGCAACAAAAACCCAATTATTAGGAAACAAAATGGATTTCATCTCAGCTGGGAAGTCTGGTTATGGCCTGATGTATCCTTTCATGATGTAAACAAACACCACAGCCGTGAATGAAGTACTACACCTACATTATAGTAGCATTGGCTGAGGGAGCTGTTGAGCCTGGAGAAAAGGAGGCTCGTGGGGGCCTTACTGTTCTCAGAAACTGCCTGAAAGGAGCATATAGTGAGGCAGTGTCCAGTCTCTTCTCCCAGGTTACAAGTGACAGGACTAGAGGAAATGACCTCAAGTTTAGATTAAATATGACAGATATCCTTTTTTTCACTGAAAGGGCTGCTGAAAGCATTGTAACAGACTTCCCAGACTGGAGTCACAGTGCATGAAAGTGTTCAAAAAATATGTGGATATGGCACTTGAAGTCATGGTTCAACGGTGAACATGGGGGTGGTGCAAGGCTGACAGTTAAGACTTTTAATTAAAGGTCGTTTCCAATATTTACAACTCTAGGATTAGTTCATACAAACTATAACTTTGAGAGTTGTTAAATTTATTTTTACATATCAGTGAAAATAAACTTGTTATCATTGAAGTCCAGTGAAATTTACCAGATATCTCAAAGACTGTAGGACAACTATCCTTGCAATTACTGTAGAAGAAAGCAAAGAAATAAATTGAAAAATTTAACAAACAAGCACAGATATTTTTTTGGGTTTTTTTATTATTTTTAAGCTAGCATTAAATCATAATTTGCAAAATTTTGTTATTGATTATAAAAAGGCAAATGTAAAATCTCTAATATCACCCTCTTCTAAGACGTAATCTTCATTTATGGTGTTCAACTAGAAGTACCTTGTTAATATTGCTGAATCCTCACAGATATATCAGTATTTCTTTATTAAGCTATAATGCCTTCTAAACCAAATGAAGCATTCAATACTTTCTTATCTAATTGACCACACCCATTGCATGTTTTCCTGATAATGTTGTGATCTTGGTTGCACAGTTATTCAAAACTCTGAGTTTTGTTCCAGCCATGCTCTGCTTTTAGGATGGGAAGGGGGAAAGAAAAAGAAAAAAAACCTGAAAATTTCTCTTCCCTGCAAAATCAAACCCTATAACACAGTGTATTTGGAAGCCTAGTCCACAGCCAGTGAAGTAAAATTAAAGCCCACTCCCTCATTCCAGCCGAGTTTTTACCATTTTAGGAAGGTTTTGGATCCCAAACCTAGAAAACCCTAGAAAAGCAGCATGGCAGGATTTTCACACATATTCTGTCAATTGCTCATTGTCACTTTTGACACTCAGGAATAGTGCCAGCTATCACAAGTTAAAGCAGCCATCAGGACAACATTTACATGGTAAGGCAGCTGTGAACAGATGGCTCGGTCTGGGAGGGGAACCTATAGCTTTGCACCTCGCTCTCCTGTGCTGCCTTATGGGCTTCTTGAAGTTACCGACCTGTGAAAAGTGCTACCAGACAAAACAAGCAGCCTTACATATTGGCATCAGTTTTAAGCCCATGTTCCTCAGCTCTTTCAGGTCATGACTCCCCAGAGCAAACTTCACAATAGTTGTGACTCAAGTGTATCACAGCTATTTTAAAATAATGGGATGGCTGTTACCAGTAATTCACACACAATAGGAAGTTTAATACTGTAATTTATACAAAATTTGTACAACATTGCCAGTAATTAGAAGACAGACAACAGTGGCAGTAACAGTCCAGTAATGATACAATTAGCTTCAATGAAGCATTTGAATGATTTTTGTAAATCAAAATGGAGTCCTTGGGGGAAGGCAGGGCTAGGATATTTAATATTTTCTCTCTTAATTTACTGCCTTTTCTCGTCTATTCTTTTTCTCAGCTCTAAGAACTGTATGATTTATGAATGTAAAGATACGCTATCAATAAAGCAGGTTAAAATACAGGCTTAGGAAAAATATATTACAAGGTATCTAATATTGTTGCAAATCAGATAGGGAAAAGAATTTCTTCACTTTACAACATCTGGCTCACAGTCTCTCATTTAATTTTTTGGAACTGCCAAACACCATTTGGTTAAGAAATCAGTATTATTTAGCACTTTATCTAAGCAGTAAAATGAGTAAAAAGAATGAAGATCCTATTCTTAAAAATTATATATAAAGTTATTTTTATTGAAAAAATTACATACATTTTTGGGATATATCAACTACTCTTACCAATTCAAAACTGTAAAATAAAAAAGGGACAATAATAACAAGACAGATAAATTAGCCTCTTCAAAACAATTGTGCTGTTTCAATTTGTACTCTTCAAGTCCCACTCAAAACTGAAATCTGTTCATCATTTGTATCAATTCCTTGTGATGTATCCAATGGTTGCTTCATTCTGTCAGCAGGGACACTGAGAGTTGAGGCTGAGAAAATAAAGCTCTCATGTTGCCAAACAATTTATTTTGTACTTTGGGTTTTGTTTTTTTTTTAACTGTAAGATCCACAGATAAAAGACCAGAAGGGAAAACTGTGATCATCTAGTTCAATATCTGATATAACACAAACTATATAAATTCCCTGAATCAGTTCTTCTCTGAAAAAGAGAATTTAGTCTAGGAAAAACATTCAATTGATTGCATTAAAAATTACAATTTATGGAAAATTTACAAATGTTTTTACTGTCAGTTTGTGCATGTGTATGTATTCATACACAGTCTAACTCTAAATCCCAAACAAAAATAATAGTTTTCTGATTTTATTTCCTGCTTTCAAGAACATTATTTGAAATTTCTTCCTCTATGAAAGTCCTTTTAAGTTTAACACATCACCTCAGATTATGCCCAAATTCAGAAAAGAGATTTAAATGCTTTCACTAAGAAATGAACCTCAACTTCCTTAACGCTAGCCTTTAACCTTACATTCTCTTCGTATATTGTAAAACTGTAATCACAGACTTGTATTAAACCTCTTGTTTATGCAGGAACCAGAGGACCAAAACAACATTGATTAGACAGAGGTTAGACCAAATATGAATTAATAATAATTTATATAAAGCTAAATAAGGGGGAAGAGTTTAACACACAGTTTAGAAATACTTCTGCTATTGAAAGTAAAAGACATGCCCTGATTTCTCAGAGTAGTGAAGAGAGATGGAAAAGATTTTTTTTGCTAAATTAGAAATTTCTGTGCTGCTTTAATTGAAGGTATCATTCACAATTGGTTAATACAGTTAGTCTCTGTTACATCCAAAGCTTACACTATTTGGTTTTTCTTTCTTCATTTAAATGTCAAACAGAGAACTCACATTGAATGGATTATCTGCTTAAATTTACATGCTTGCACTATCATTTTGCAGCTGAATTTACTTTTTTTTTATTCAGCCAAGTAAATGACACTCCATCAAATCCCTTATCTGAGTCTGTCAGTCTCTTCACCAGTATTACCCTTATCTTTATTTGATTTTTAAATTCATATTTGAAACAAATATATTATCTGAACATTATTATATTATTATATATTGTCTGAATCTGAATATATTATTTGAATGATACATTATCTTTACAATATATTATAGTATCTTTATATTATTTTTTATTAATATCTATATAATAAATTTTATTTTGGGCCCAAGAATCAGCCTTATGCTGACAGATTAATTTAGTTAATTTAATAATCGATTATTAATAAATTAATATTTAAAGTTATTTACAAATAATCTATAATATAAATTATTTATATACATATAAATAAAAATATAAGTTAATGCACATAATTTTGTCAAATTAGCTATATTTCAGTATTTTGGATTTATTTACATATCCTTAATTACTGGAAATTCATAGTGATAAATCAGAATATGTCTACCCAGCTCTTGTAATGAAAAGAACACGAATAAAAAACAGCCAGCATAGAAGGGTGGGGTTTTTTTAATCCACTCATACTAACTAATTCTATTGGAATTTATTCAACATCTAGCTTTTACTTTAATAATGACAAAAATAATGGAGATAACTCTTTCTTTTTTCATGAAAATCATAGAATTTCTATTTATTTATGTACCAAAGACTTTATCCATTCTCATATGCTTCAAAATCTTTCCTGCTACCCTGTTCAGTTCATATATGTTAATGTTAATCTTAACTTTCATTATATTCAGATATATTTTTCAATCTGATACCAGCAGTTCTACCATGCAATTTATTAAACGTATTGTAGAGAAGAAAAGGGATTATAGAAATGAATCAGCAGCAAATCAGTACTTCATTTTGAAGGTGATAGAAAAGTATGAGTGCTGTTCGTATGTGTGGCGCTGAATGTCACCAAATACTATTGACTAATTTTTTTTTAAAATGGCCATATTCTTCTTGAATATCTTTAGCACTTTAATTGTACCTTGGCATCTTATAAATACAGCAAGGTAACTTTATCACAAATGCTGAAAAAAGTCAATAACATCTGAATGCAATTTTTAAAACTTTATATTTATATTTATATTTATATTTATATTTATATTTATATTTAGTTTTAGTTTTAGTTTTAGTTTTAGTTTTAGTTTTAGTTTTGGGGGGTTTTTTTCTTACAGAAGGCTACTCTTTCTTGCTTTGCTCTGACTAATATGGTTTGGTTTTCTTATAAGTGAGATACCTCATTAAAGAGATCAATCCTTAAAACCTAAAAAAAAATAGAAGCCAAGTACACTAATGGAATGTTAAATAAAAGAGTGAAAATTAAAAAATATGCAACAATGAATAGGCAACTTCTGCTGGACTGCATTCAATACATAACTTTTCAGAAGCACTCAAATAAGTAACTCTGACTTGGAAACTCAGCGGAGTGCATAGTTTATGACAATTCAATTCAACCAATTTTTCATGGTTCTAGTTTATTTTGCTGTGGGCATAAGCAATTTTCTTTCCCTCCCAACTAGCTGTCCTACAAGGAATAGATTATTGATGCAATAAGAATTTATGATCTTTTAGATTCGAGTCATTTAATGAAGTACTGAATGTATTATAAATACCAGCAAACCTTCTCCTCCATGTTTTTACATAGTATTCTAGTCAGTTATTCTGAAAAGCTTATGTCTGTCAGATAGAACAAAAACCTGTTTAATAAAGAACATCCTCTGTGAAATATAATTGTATCATTTAGTACTGGAGAGCGACAGAAGCAAAAAGAAGCAATGATGTCTTTCAAGAGTATTCAAATCACACTGTGAGTCTAGGAATACCTGTTCTTCCTTGTTTGACAGCACTTCTGAAAAACAAGTATTTGCCACTCGACCTTTTTTGCATTCTTCACCTATCCAAAGTTAAATGTGATTAAAAGTATATTTAATTAGACCCTCATGGGTGTCAGCAATGTAAGGTTAGAAAAAAAGTCTTAGAAATGGTCTGATTTCCTTCTGTAACTTCAAATTGTTGCTAGAAGCAGTGGCCTGGCAAGATAGTTTAAACTTCATCAGTTTTCTAGTGTGAAAATTAAGATGTAGAACTCAGAAATTACTGCAAGTCATAGCTCTTTACACTAACTGCAAAACTGAAAATTAAAGAAAATATTCATTATAGAATCTACTGCTCATATATAATGACCATTAGAAAAAAAGATCTAAGTCCTACACTCAGTATTTATTGTAAGACATAATATATTGATTATGAGTGTTTATATTAATATATTTTAATATAGTCTACATATTATATATATATATGTATAATTTCCTATGTATATATAATTTTATATGTAGGATATATCACAGAATCAATTACATTGCAAAAGACCTCTGAGATCATCAAGTGTAACTTTTGACTGGACACCACCTAGTGAACTAGACCATAGCACTGAGTGCCCCATCTAGTCTTTCCTTAAACACCTCCAGGGATGATAACTCCATATCCTCCATGAGCAGCTCACCCCAATGCTTATCAACCCTTTCCATAAAGAAATTCCCCTGATGTCCAGCCTGAATGTTCCCTGGTGCAGCTTGAGACTGTGACCTCTCATCTTGCCCCTGGTTGCCTGGGGGAAGAGGCTGATCCCCACCTGGCTACACACTCCTGTCAGATGGTTGTAGAGAATGATAAGGTCTGTCCTGAGCCTCTTTTTCTCCAGGCTAAACAACCCCAGCTCCCTCTGCTCTCCTCCTGGGACTTACCCTCTAGGTACCTCATCAGCCTCACTGCCCTCCTCTGGACTTCATTACATATCGTGCTATAAAATATTTATTTGATAATCTAATTTTATATATAACATACCATAAATTATATAATAACTTCTATTTAGGTATTTTATTACATACACGCATAAAATTTGTGGTTTTCTTAACAAATTGCACTTTGGGCTTATGTCAAAATTTATGATATAATCATTTTCCTTCAGAAATTGTGTTTTATCAAACTTTAGTTCTTACTGCCTTAAATACATTCTTCTCGTACTGTCTTTATAACGTAAATGACTGAGAAAAATTGCATTATTTAACAATCAAAATCAATGTTCTTATTTTAAGGTTTTTGCTGTATTATGACAATGAACTGTTATATTCTGAAATCTTTTCATTGAGCTTATTTCAGCTCAAAATTACTTCTTTTCGAAGTCAAACGCTGTAATGTTGTATGACATTACAGGAATATTTCTCTGACATTCAGACTGAGTTCTTGTGCTTGTTCTCATGCTATTTTAAATTCTCTATCACAGCTTGTCTAGAAATACTGTGATCATTCATCATCAGTGTGAAATATTGAAGCAATTCAATCAGCCAGACTAAGCAAACATCAAATGAAGTCGGGGAGGTCAGTGGGTGTCAGAAATGTCTGTATGTTTTAGAGATTACTCTGAGGAAGCTAGTTGACTTCCATGTTTTAAGATCAGTCACATCTGAGGTCAGGTTATCTAACTAATAATAGTGGGGAATAGTTGATGAGTAGTGGAATTCATCTGCTTCCCCCCAGTAATTAGAACTGCAAAAGCTTTAAGTGCTTCTGTTTCATTGCTGTCTTTGTCACTGGCTTCATTGTCTGTGGCCACAATGGAGGTATGCTGAGTGAGCATGGCCAGTGGATTGAGGGAGCTTGTTATCCTGTCTGTTCAGTATTTGCTAGAGAACACCTGCACTGGGCTTCCAATTTCCCTTCCCCTAGTAACAGAAAACATTCATAAACAGGAACAAGTACTGTGGAGGCCACCAGAAGGTTCAGATGTGGAGCAGTTGTCCTGCCCTTCAGGCTGGGAAGCAGAAAGGTTTTTGGGGAACCTGATAGCAGACTCCAAAACCTAAGGGGAAATCATCAAAGAGACAGATACAACATCTCTGCATTGGTATAAGGTATGAGTATCAAAGGCAGTGGTTATGGTGAAAGCACAGAGTTTCAGGTTCGATTAAAGTAAAAAGCAATTCTCACTGAGGACAGCCAAGCAGCGGAAGAGACTGCCCAGAGAAGCAGTGCAGGCTTGGGTGCTTCAAACACCAGCTTGACAAACCACTGAGAGACCAGATCTCAACTCATGGCTAATCCTGCTATAAGCAGGAGACCTCCTTAGGTCCTGTCATGCTGAATTAAACCATAATACTATATCATAGCCTCATGATATGTAGGAAAAATTATCAGTTCACATTCAGATGTCAGACTAGTGAAGTGAAAGAACCCAATGGGATTTTTAAGTCTTATAAATTTTCATATGGAAAATTAGAATGCAGTGCTGAAACACACATCTGTTAACGAATCTTCCAGGCATAATTACCCTGACAAGATGCAGATGACACAAAAATAAATACATACTAATTTATATTTTCTTAATCTATGTACTTTCCTGACTGAGTTTAAAAATATAAGTACTTTATTTATATATATATAAATATATATAAATATATTTATATATATATAAATATATATATATTTTGTTTTTTATATATACTTCACCAGTACTTTACTGGTATTTCTCTTAATCATATAAGCTGAAGAAATTTGAAAACTAAACATGACATTGTATGATGAAGGAAGAAAACCACATAAAGAATACAAAAATTTCTAACTATTACATCTATTGTATGTTAAATATAGTAATTATTATAGATAACAGGTAAATTCATGAAAACTAATATGGTAACGTGATTTAAAAAAATTAACTTAATTGAATATTGTAAAAACTTACTCAACTGTATATCAAATATGGCCCATCCAACTCTTCAGTTGAGTTCTTTGGGCTTGTTTATAGCATTTCTTCTCCTAATCCCTAATTTTTGATTGCAAACAGTAGCAGACATGGAATTTTGTGTAAAACATTACCATTGAACATAAGCCAAACATGTTCTCTTTTTCATTGAACAGGGAAATTATTAAAAACAGAAGTATCATCACAAATCTTCAGTAAGGTGCCAGTTTTGCACAAATATATGATTCTGGTTACCACAATATGTCTTCAGAATATAAACCTAGAATTATTGTGTAAATTTATAAAATTTAAATTCTTACATGTACTTGAAAATTTGCATGTCGATATTGCATACACCGAATAACTCTCCCACAGAATAGTTTTCCTAGCTGCATGAAAATTCAGAGGTGGTAATATGTGTAATGTTTTATGATGGATGCATGCATGGCCAGTGAAGGGTATTTCCCCAAGACACAGTAACCAGCTATGAATTCCCCTTCATGTAATGCTTTATTCATAATTTAATTCCAGTTGGATAAGGCAAAATATCTGTTTGAAAACTATTATAACACTTTATGTTTTCACTATTGATACGTATCATGAAAAATACATTTTCACCATTTCAATGGTTTGCACTGGATGATGGTGGGGTTTTTTTTCTAATTCCAAAAAGAATGGGATGAAATTTTTAGAGAATTTTATCTTAGGGTTGTAACAAATAACTTTTGAAAGTTATTGCAGACAAAATGCATCACTGATTAGCAAAACTCTTCAACTGTTACTTACTATCACCACGGCAAAGCAAAGGCCCCAGTTTGTAAGCAGCTTCTGAGTTTGGTCTGTCAGTATCTGTGATCACAATTTCAGTTACTGGTAGATGGTCCTTGTAGGAGAGGAAGCCAGTATCATTAGTCCTGAAAAGGTAAAATGAAAGCCACAGCTCTCCTAAATGTTTCCAATAAATATTTCATTATAATTGACACATTACTGAGGAAACGAAAACATCAAAAAAAGAAAAAGGATGCCTAAATATTGTATGTGTTTGTATATATGTGATACATGAAACTGTGAATAGAAACATACATTTTGGAGTTGATACTGAGCTCATTTGACAGGACTGAAAGAATTTCATTGAAAGTGGGTAGTTTTATGGTTGTGCTGGTCTACACAAGCATGAGAAAAGTCCTCTTGAATAAATGGTCACCCAACTTCCTTCCTAAGTCAATGAATTTGCTCAAGACAAATTTGCAAGTACACTTTATATTGCTGAGGACATACTGCATCTCTAATTTACTCCATCATCAATATGGAATATTTAATGGCTTAATATAACTTTCAAGTAACCTTTATTTTTTTTATTTTTTCCACCCTGAAAAAATTTTAAAAAATCAAATAGAAATGTATGAAGTCATGCTGACTACAGGAAAAGCAGTATATGCTACAAAGATGAAACCTGCAGAAAAGAAAATATGTAAATCTGCACTCAAAACTGACATCTAATACTTGTAATATTAGACCTAGTTCCTTGTTTAAAGTCTTTGTTGACTTAGTGTCAGAACTGAATTTTTAAATTTCATAAGCACCAGTTTTGGCCCTAAAATTCCTTTCCGTAACCCCATGGAAATGTTCAGTTACTCAGGACTATTCTGGAAAATTCTATTTGTCAAATCAATACATTCAATCTTCCCTCTAAAGGGCAAAGCAAATAGTTCAGAATAAACAGGAGAAACTCGGAGTGGAGAAGTAATCTAGAAGCTCCACTACTTAGAGATAAAACATGAGACATACATCAGGAAGAAATCCATGATTCTCTGAGAATGTCATCAGGTTTAGCAATCTTGTCTGTCAGTACACAGTGCACTGGGACTAACACAATAGGGAGAGACTCCACCCTCTTGCTGAATAAAATTAGTGACTTTTTTCTCCTCTCCTCTCTCTCTTTCCTATCATCGTCATCTTTCTCCTGCATACAATTTCTGTTCATCTGTTTTGAAGCACAGTGAAGAAAAATGGACATTTTTTTAGTAAGCTATTTTGCTTAACTGAAGAATGCAAAACATGGGGTTTTTATAAATGCTAATTTTTCATAAGGTGAGATATTTCAGGTTTCTAATTTTGAGCTGAAAGAAAATCCCTCAAAACACTAGAAGTGTTTGCTTCAGTAAAATGGCGCTGTAAACAAAAGGAAAGTGTATAGAATTTATCTTCTGTGGAGAGGAGTTGCAATTTTTAAATTTTTAGGACCAGTTTTTTTTTAAAAACAATCCTATTCTAAAGTTCTAGGGGTGTAAAGTTTTTCATTAGTCAAGTAAGGAGTTTAGAGTTAAATTTCTGTCCAATGTATGAAATAAGATTTCACTATAAAGGTAGACTGTCAAAACCAGTGTTTCAAAACCACAGTGTGTAACTAGTTGTCTATGATCAAAATGCATCTCAAACAAGCATAGCTTGTACCTACTTTTCCCCCCAGTGAACTGTATCTAGTTGAGATCTACTAGAAGTATCAACTGATCCAAAGCAGTAGTCTCTAGGGAAATACAACGGTAATCACAAGTACCAAAATGAGTGTACATGTAACCTCTGTAATACTGGAGTTACTGGGCAGAACCTCTACTTATAAGTGTCAAAAGTGGATACAAACAGAAATATAAACCCAGACTCATTATTCTTTAAATTTAATACTCTCATAAATATCTCAGCAACTTACTGGAAGTGGATGTGCATGTAAAGATATGCATATAATCCTCTCATATACTGTATTTACTAATATGTTACTATTATAAATTAACCTTTATTGAACAAATGACAAAACTGAGCAAGAATATTTTACATGTATGAGCAACTGTGCTAATTTTTTCCTCATAATTCATTTGTCTTTTAGCACTTATTTTCATGTTACAAATTCATACTGTTTTTATTTTCATACAACATAATAATAGGGAAATTCTTAGTGTTATGTGTGTTTCGTTTATCTCTTTATTGAAATAAACATTGCAGATATCACCCTGTGAATTTTACTGCAATAGCAAATTCTTTTCTCCAGAAATCTTTGAAGCTTGTGAAGAATTGTTCTTTGATTAACTCTTTCTTGTACTTTCATTTCTGTGTCTGCTGAATTCCCTGTCCATGTTGAGGGAACAAGCATTTTCCAACTCAACTCACTGGTCAGTACTTTAAAAGAAGGGTGGACCTTCAGAAGAAAAAAATGGTGCAATGCTTAATTTTGCATAAGTCAAGCTGTTCCTAAGTATCTTCCTTACATTTTCCCACTTTCAAAAAAATTGATATTGATGCATTTTTTTAAGATGCACATGTTAATGTACTCACTGAACTTGATTTATGTAATTTAAATGGACTTCAAAATTTTAAGACTGTAAAAGTTTCTTCAACAGAAGAGCTTTCATTTGAGAAGTCCCTCTGCTTTACCAAATCCTGTACTGCATTGTTGAGAAAGTTGTATCTGATCCTACTAAATGAAAAGTCAAGTTCAGATTTGACATTGTAAAAAGAAGTCATCCATTATATTATTTATATGAAAGTAATTCTAAATGACACCAGAGAATTTTAGGCACAAGTGGAAGATTTAATTCATTCATTCTCTTTGAACAGGACTCCACAATGGTGCTTTGCTTCATTGATAGGAAGAGTATTAATTTTAATTGTCTATGTTTTAGATGGAAAAAAAAGGATGAAAAAAAGCTAAACCTTAAAGTGTAGTTATAAATTATGCTAAAATAACCTTTTTTCACAGAACATTTTAACTTAATCATGTTCAGCAGTCTAAAATTAACTGAAGTTGTGGTAAAGAACTATAGTCTTAATCTGTAACATGCAATACACTAGAGGACTAGAAAGTCTCTGCAAAATTGAACTTCCCCAAAATTTGAGTGAAAGAATTAGCAATTATACCTAATATACATAGCAATAACTTTGTGGAAAAATATGTTCTGTAGCAAAGAATCAGATGACAATATGGCATCTTAGATTTCCCACTGCCTTGGTATTATAAATATGCTAAGGTCTGTATGTTTTCTTCATTTACTTTTAACAAAAGAAGTACTGTAAATAATCAACAGTAAAAAGTCACCATTCATCCCTGTCTGCATCACAGTTGCAGTAATGCTGGGAATCAATGCAGCTTCCCTCCAGTCCACAAGCACATTTTTGTACAGCAGGCAAGGAACCTCCCCAGTAAGTATGAGTTTCATTGGTTCTTCCAATCCACCAGCTCAGTGGCATCCCATCTAAAAAGCAGGTTAGAGAAAAATCAGTGCCCAGTCTTGTCTCCTACTTCTCTCAGGTTTCCCATCAAAATAATTTTCCAAAAGGTTAAGAAGACAAAAATCCCTGCTCAAGTCTAAAACCTTTAAATGACCAGGAAAAAAATAAATTTTCACCTTTACTTGATAAGTAATTATTCATTTTAATACTTCGTTTTCACATATTAAGTGATTGTCACAGATTTTTGCTTACATTAGTGGAAAAGGGAACTCACAGTACCTAGTTCAGCCAGCCATGATATTAGAATAATTTATCTTAAGCAGCCCATTTATATAATTCATTTTAAAATGGTCCATGAAAGAGGAGATATAATCATCCTAAAAATCAGGGTAGTTTATATTCCCAAATAAAGATCAATTTCATATGTTGGAACTACCAGAAATTGAATGAGGGAAGTCATAGAAATGGCCTCATCCCACTACCAAGAGTACTACAGAGTACTACTACCCACATCTGTGATGAACTTTAAGCAGATGAATAGTAGTGTTAATCAGAAACGCCCAAAGACAGCTGCTAGGTCATGGACAGCAGATTCAGAATTTATATACTCAGAGACAACAGAAATCATGTTAATGTTGCTCCCATAAGCAAGTTGATATATGTGGTGAGCAGAAATGAGGTAGCCTGTACTATTACATATCTCTGTGGTGCCCCCAGTCAGCATTGTTTGTAGCAAAATGACAAAACTGTATGTTTCCTTAATGTTACCATACTGCAGAATAAGCTTAAAGATATTGCCAAGCAAGCATCGCAACAGAAGAAATATCTACAGAACGCATAATAGCTAAACAATATGAAGCATAAGATAAACAATCTCAAATGAGATGGAAGAAGGGTGGTGGATGTATGAAAGTCAAGGCATGAGAAGAAATCAAGTATTGTTAAATTATAGTTTCTCATGGATGCATTTCTTTTTGTTTCTGCTGGAGTTCCATTTTCAGCACCTGGCCCCCACGAAGAAGCTGGAATTTATTCTACTCTCAACTTTACTTACAACTGCTACTGCTTATTAAACCTCACTGTTAGATAAAACCTCTGTTACACTGACAATCTTTCAGATTGCGAACATATTGACTGCATTCATTACCACACAACTGTCAGCCCAGCAGGCCAAAAACCAGTGTGAGCAGTTTTTCGAAAAGTCAAGCTTGCATAATGGCATCAATGTCCAATATCAGTGTTTGTGTTTGCAAACCATCACAGGAGGAAGAAAACCCAGAAACTCTGTATAAATAATTTATCAGACAACACTTTAAAAAGGTTCTAACAACTAAGACTGTAAAAAGCAGAATATTTCTGCTGCTTTAACAGCATGCCTTAGGTTTATATTGTAGTCATGAATTAGCATTCCCAGTGTTTCACTAGGGACATTGGGGTATGTTTAAAAGCTGGTCTCAGTTATTTGTTCATACAGCAGGGTAAGAAGAGAGTATTTACTGAAATGCTGCAAGTTCATGCTGATTAGCCTACAATTTTTCCTTGACTTGGCAGAAAGTACTGCCTAAGCAAAATAAAGCCATTAATTAAAATAATTAGAGATTTCTTCATAATGATCACATAAATGTATTAACCAATGACTTTTCTAATGATATCATTTGCAAGTCTCATCCAGATGGATTGAATAAAATGCATTCCTAAAATTCAGTCAGTTAAAGATTACTAGGTGGACTGTATGTTCCAAAAAATATATTATGTAACCATCATCAAATTTTCTATTTCTCAGGCACCCCTAGTGAAGATTATAAACAGCAGAAATGAGAGTGATTAAGCTGTGTTTAAACAAAAGAATTATTTTAGAAAATTATTCTAGAAAATTGCTATAAGTCTCATGTAACTTTCACATGTCTATTTATTCTTAGCATTCAAAACTAAATTTTAGATGACTTATCACAGGTGACTTCGTACATTTCGAAGGCATTTATTTTAGCACATTTATGTGCATATTATAAATATGCAGTGATATGTAATATAAACAGCATAACAATAAAAACAGTGAATTACTTTAGCACATTTACATGCAATCTCCTTGGATAAAACAATAGTCTTTAATCTTTCTGCTTGAGGCAAACCAGGCTTTTGAACACTTAAACATAGTTTTAATTTGGAGCCCACAGTAAAAGGAAGGCTCATTGGGACATCTTAAAGCAGCAGGTTCACTTTTTTTGCTGTCGAGGTATTTTCAAACAGATATTCTTCCAAGAGTGAACACCAGTCTAAAAAGCCCAGAGATGTCCATTCCATAATTAGGGAGAAAGAATGTATAAAGAAAGAGCTTAGACATAGAACCAGAGAGGACTTCACGCAGAGATATTCTCTCTGCTTAGTAGGAAAGAATGCCAAGGAATCAATATTTAGCATCTTAAGAGTTTCTGCTGCACAAGTCAAAAAATTTCACTTAGTTTTTCAAAAAACAGTAAACAATGAGGATTTTACCTCCACAGTATTTGGAGTGCTTAGATGTTCACACTAAACTCTTTTAACACCAGCTCTGTGTCAGTAAGAGTTAAAATTTAAATATACTTCACTTTTCTTTAAGTAGATCAGACCTCTCTTTATTTCTTAAAGCAATTATAATTTTGTCAATAATCCACATTTTGACTAGAGAGCTTTTAAAGAATGTTTATATTTGACATTGGAAATTCAATGTTATTGATGTGTTTTGTCAAGCACTCACAATAAGCACATTAAGTGCACACATTAACTTCTCCTGGTATCTACACACTAATTTCTGTTCTTTTAAGAAGGTATTTTCTCAGTAATAATTTAATTCCTTCATTAAAATTAAAAAAAACTTGGAATACCAAACAAGAGAGGATCTGTTAATAACAATCTCTGTTAATTTAAACGTCTTATGAGAGAAATTAACTTGAGAATTTAATTATCTGAAAGATAATCATTATACATCGACATTTGAATTTTCCTGGTTCAAATATCTCTTGGTAACTTACAGAAATCTGAGAACTCAATATTTGAAGTAGTTCAAACACTGTAGTAGCAAAATGCCGTAACCTTGTTAGAAATACAGAATTTTAGTAACCAGTAAAAATAAAGGCACGATGCAACATAATAAGGTTTGACTGCTTTACTTACCTGACTTATCTAAAAGCCTTGATTTTTTGCAGTAGTAAGCAAGCTCTTGTTCACAGTGATCTGCAAGGTTTATTGTAGCCTGAAGCTGGTCTAGGCTGGCAGAATACTTGAAAAACACAGTGTGTGGGTTCTCTCGATTAGCACTTTTAACTCTGGTTAGGTTGGTGCTGTTATGCTGTATAATTGTCCACGTAGCATCTTTCAAAACACATGTGAAAAGTAATAAGGAATGAGAAAGCTGCAGAAGTTAGTAATGGAAAGAGCATATAGCATGATATCAGCTAAACTTCAAGATAACTTCTTTGATCACAGAGAGCTCTTTGGGGCCCATGAAAGAAACATAAATCATTGAGCAAAAATGAAACAATTACTCATTTTTTCTATTCATAGATAGATCATTGTACCATGACTGTAACAGGTATTCAGCTAGTTATGATTATTGAATAAGGAAAGAATATGTGATGACACCCAAATATTTGTATCAGAAATAAAATATTATTTACTTGGTAAATTGCTATGAAAGATTAGAAGGAAAAAACACTTACTATTGTGACTTTCTCCAGGCTTAAATAATGCATTTAAACACTAATTCTATCCTAGAATCTACCTACATTACATACATCCTTATATCTTGAATTAATTTATTCTGTATGAGAAAACGGCCTACAGGTCTTTTGTATGATACAAAGAAGCAGAAGTTCTTGCGTTTACTGTGCTAACTATAAAACTAAGATTATATGAAGGTTAATTACTACTGCCACCTAAAATTAAATAGTATTCATGATGAAGGCTCATATCATTCTTCTGTTTTGTATTTCTGTCAAGCCCCTTCACCTGTGAATAGGAAAAAAATGAGCTTATTCTGTTTTAGCTCCCACTTTCAAAATCTGTAAGCCTCACTTTCCTGACCAAAACCCCTCTCAAGGTAGGTGCAAGAAGGCTTCCATTAAAGTCCATCTGGGACAGTCAATTTTAGATTCATGGTCATCGTATTAATGTATCTTCTTGGCCAGAGTAATTTGAAAAATTGTAAGAATTATTATTTTTTTCTAAATTTTAATATTGATATAATATTTCAGACACTGTAATAGTAGTATTCTAACTAGACCTGTGTTTTATTTCATCAGCTGTCTATAGGCTGCACATGGCAGATATTATATAATATCTATAAAGAAGAAAGAACTATGGTCATTTAGAGATAAGAACTAGCCACAAAAATAAAATTAAATATATTTCATCTAATTATATAATTTTATTAAGAATGTAATTAGAGTATCAAAAACCAGATAGCTGGAAATATGAATTTAAATTTTGGTTCCTTTATTTGTTCTGGGTGTTGTTTTCTATGGTTGTGGAGTTTTTTTGGTAGATGGACATACATACAGACACAAATACATCTCTACATTACACGGAACATAAAAATGAAGACAAGCAGTTTCGATATTCAACTCAAGGTCACATTCCCAAAATTACAAAAAAAACCCCAACCAAACAAAAAAACCCCAAAAACCACAAAAAAAAACAACAAAAAAAAACCACCCAAAAAACAAAAAACAGAAAACTGCAAAGTTTTTAGCATCTTAATTGACAGTGTGTTGTTGACAGCAATTAAGTGTGGACCGTAGGCTTTTGATTCTGAAACTGAGCTCCAAGAATAAAATCAGGGAATGGCACCTCCCTCCCAGCTGCCTGAAATAGAGCCCCATGAATGTCAAAGACAAGGCAGTGCAGTAGGAAATGTGGGCATCTGCCTTCCCTGCCTCTGATGGGAAAAGGGAATACCAGTCATGAGGAAACTGGGAACAAAACAAATATAGAAGATTCATCCTGTCAGAATGCATCTTGAGATGAGGAACTGATCAATGATGTTTGCTTAATGTGGTGAATAAGGAGTGACTGAGGAAAACAGGAACAGCTGTTCATGGACACACAAGGATAAATCAGACACTACACAGTACCTTGGAGAGTTATACCCACTTAGAAAAATTGTCATCTTTCTGCCATGATTCTTTGGTCTTTTTAGTCTCACAGGACACTAGAATATTTCTTTTTAAGAGCCCATGCCAATCTGAAGTGTTCTTATTGTGAGAAAGCACAATTCACTGTAGAAGTCAAAGTCAGGAGCTGACATGGTAAGACTAGGTAAATTGCTCAAGTCGATATCAGAATCTTACTATAAGGTTTCTGAGTCAAGTTCTTAACACTTAGGGAATAACAAGCCCTACCCAGTTCAAATCTAGATTACTCATGTATTCTTTTAAACAGTTATAACTGTAAAACTAAATTTTTGTCAAATAAAAAAATAAAATATTCCCATTATTTTTGCTGGAAAGCAATTCATATTAAAGGGGCTAAGTAAAGAAGACAGCCACAAATCCAGCAATAATAAATTCCAAAAAGCCACTTAAATTTAAGCTTAGTTAAAATACCAATATACCATACACATTAAAGAGATAGAATCAACTGCTTTGTTAAAAAGCAGACTGAAAACAAACTGACAGCTAAAACTTCCAGTTACCTATGTGATCAGATTCAAAGAACTGGCTGCAGAAGGGAAACAGGGTGTCCAAAGGTGAGGCTGCAAGTTGGATGGACTGGTTGTATTTGTATTCTCTGAATGATCACCATGTAGTTTGAAAGATGAAGTTTAATATCTATATTCCTTCCAACAAAGGCCAGATCTAAATTCAAATTTTTCAGAAGGCTATTGGGAAAAGTCAGCAAATTTCTCATAAAACAACTTATTTCTCATTTTCTTAAGTATCCTTGAGAGGCTGCAACTTCAATAAAAAGAAAGCTGCTCCCCAAAATGAACTAGTATGATGTTGTCAACATATGGAACACATACCCCATTTATGCAAAGCAAAACAGGAGTGCTGTATTAGCTTCACAGCCTGAATCCTGTTATAATTCTAATTTTTATGCCTAATTATTTGCCCAATATCCTGAGCTAAAGGGTCACCTTCCTTTTGTTATGCATGTTTACATTAAATTCATAAACTGCAGAGACTTCTCACTTGGTAACTAATTTTTCAATGTAATGAGCATGCATACAGTCACAGCTGTAAGTTAAGGAAGTTTATCACCTCACCTGTCATATTGCAGTATACAAGAAATGGTCCCAAGGGGCCACTTCCATCTGAATCAATATTGTAAAAGCCTGAAGTGTTCCCTCTGTGCTTATAGGCTTCACATGATTGCTCATAGATGGCTGCAAAAGAACACATTTCATCACAAACGCCATGGCATGATTTTACATTTTATTCAGGGAATTAAAAAAAAATGCGCATGACCCTTGACATTGGGAAAAGAAGTTGGATGTGTACTATCTCTGCTAAAGAATGAAGAAAAATTCATGCCATCAAAATTGTGCCTTTATTAGAAATTGTTAAGCATATTTGGTTTATCATGGAGATCATAAGGTGCATTTTTAAGCACTTTATTCTATACTTCCAGCTCAAAACTTCTGGAATGAACACATGAAATATGAGTGAGTAAATGGTTGCAAAATTGCTGAATAATGCTAGAATGCCAAGGTTATTACTTAGACCCTGGTAATCAGGTTTTGAGGAAACCCTCACTAACTGCCTCAACCAAATCAGATTTTTGTTGCTGCTGTTGTTGTAACGTAAAGCAGAAGATAAGCATTTTTCGGCCTTCACACTTCTCATTTTTTCCCATTTTAAACGGAAATGTGACTTGTCACAGATTTCAATAAAATAATTAATAAGCAAAAAAAATAATATTAAAAAAAAAAGACAGCTCCCTGGTTCCTTGTCATGTATATTTTATCTCAATCTAGGTCTTAAAAAAAAATAAATCTCTAATACCTCTTATATATCAAATATGTGAGAAAAAAAAGGATATATGAGTCCACTTCTGTAACTGTATCTCAGGAAACATAATGATAATGTCACAGCTGGACATATTAATCTAAATTCTCCTTTAACCATTTTATTTCTTTTGAGCAGTCATAATGTAAAAATTGATATTTCATTTCAAAATTAAACTGTAACCTATCATTTATCAAAGCTTAAAAAAATTCTGCCAAAAAGAATGAGCTGCCAGATTAATAATGAAAAGTAGTTATGAGTGCTATACAACATTTTTAAATAAGCTAGTATTTTAAGAGTGTTATCTTTCTATTTTTTTGCCTGATGGTTACTAACATTACATTGCAACAGCTAGAAAAAAGCCAAACCCTTCATTTTACTTACCCTAGCAATTATTCATAATAAACAATTTATGCAATTTTAAAATGCAATTTTATTGTTCCTTAGAATAAGTACTCTTAGCTAAATTTAGAAATGACAAAAGTTTGATTATTCATTATTATTTCTGACAATAAAAAACAATTGTAACTCATATTATTACACTTCTCATTGAGTCCTAATCATCAGGAAACCTTAGCCCGCATCTGTCGTCATACACATCACGAGATGATCCAATTTGTGACTTTTCAAATTGCAATGAGTCAAATCACCTTCATCTTCACTCTGGGCTCATCAGAGTTTAATGTGACATACCATGCTATTCAAAATCTTTACTATTGGCATATTTCCTATGTTACATAGTTTTTCTTAACACTGTTATTTATGACTGTTGTTGACTTTGTATGATCAAGACTTAAATAGGCAGTTTTTTAAAATCAGTGATTTCTCAAAAAATCCCATTTGGGTAGACATATATTCTTTCTGTGAAAGCTGCCATAAAGGATTGTGTGGATTTTATATAGACAATATATAAGTACAGAATTATTTATCTGATGATTAGGGAAATCTTTGTATAAAAAACAAAGTAAACTTATATGGGTTTTTACTTAAGAGGTAGGTAGTGAAAGCCAGAATACTTCTTTTATCTTTTTCTCAGAACATGCTGAAAGCAGTACCAAAGTAAAGCATCTCCTGTGAAATTACCTAAGTTACATTCAATTAGGTTTTCAAAATGTGTTTATTTTCTTTTCTCCTAATCTACTTTCTGATCCAGCAAACTACATAAAGATGTGCTTGAGGTTTAGCACAGGATTATCTTTGGACATGCATGTAGTCTCACTGGTTCAGAAATAATAAATATTAGTTGTTGTGATGAATAAAGATGAATTTACCATATTTCTAAAAGATACATTGCTTCAGAAAGTGGAATTATATGGATGACAGAGAGTATTACATAGTAAAACCACACATAAAATACAAAAACTGTGAAAGAAAAACACTTAAATTTTTAATTTTTTTTTGTTACATATTTCGAGTTCCCAAGGCCTTTCCTCAAACGAAATTATGGTTATTTTTATGACTTTAAAATATTTTATGAATGATAAGTTCAAATGTTTTTTGGTTTAGTCTCTTTTTTTAAAATTTTGTTTTGTGGTGAAGAAATTCAGTCAGAAGGAAAAGCATAGTCAGAAATCAGAAAACATCTTAGACTTACGATAGTGACAAGTAGCTCCCCTGTAACCAGTATTGGCACAGTTGCAGTGGAAACTGTTCCAGGACTGTGAGCACTCACCACCATGTTCACAGTAATTAGGCAAACACCTAAAACAAAAACCAGTTTGCATTTTCACTCTTTTTTCCCCTCACTTAAATGCCACTTGTACTTAGCAAGAAAAGCAAAATCCTGGAAACGAACTATAATGTGAAGAAAGTCATCAAGGTCATTGGTAAAGATGTCAATGCAAGTAAAAGAAAACTAAGAGAATTTATTCCCTGGTATTCCTTTTGCTTATAAAAATATCCTAATTATGGATTAATATTATATTATTAATATGCTTTTGAGAACAGAAATAAAGTGTAAGATGCAGAACCGTTATTAGTGTTCAACTAGCTGCAATTCAGTATGGACTAATAAATCAAGGAAAGGTTTATGTGTTAATAATTCAATGGCAAGTTTTGCAATGACTGGGATTTCTTCAACAACATGTATCAAAACAAAGCAACATTACAGCAGACTTCTTTCTGTTCTTGTAAAATAATAATTAAAAAATCACCTAACAAATAAATCTGACCACAGCACCTGACATCTATTTCTAATTCCAAAATTATGTTTACTTCCTATGCTAGAAATAATTCAATATGCCATTTCCAACACAACGGACCAGTTCCAGTTTCCACTCTGGTAATATGACTAAGATCCTGAAGAGTTTTGATTAATTTCTTCTAGGTATACAATGGTTGACTGAAAAAATAATTTACCTGTAACTTCTTAAAGACTGCAACACTATACTAAAGTATAAAATAATTGTGAGACCAAAAAAAAAAGAAATTCCATTTTTTTATAAATTCAGCTGAAAATATATTGAAATATATTGGCACGCTTCAACCAATTATTAACTAGTTTTTCACCTTAGAAATTAGTTAATAATCTAACTGCACTCAGTGTATGATAGAGCTCAGAAAATAAAAAATGACTTTACAGTGGACATTAGTCACAGGAAAAAAACCACTAACATAAACCACATGCCCACTAACACTCACAGGATCTTAAAATACCTTATAATTCATTCAAGAAACAGTAGGAGAATATTAAATTAGGATTGCAGAAAGTCCAGCATTTCACACATCTGCCCTATGAATAATTCAGAGTCTTTGCACATTCACTGTTTATGGCACTCAAAGAATTTTATCTTTCATGTTTATAAACAAGAATAAGTGGTTTTCACAGAAAGGAATTAAAAAAAGAAGTAGGAGGTGAAGTATAGGTAAAGTAAGTAAACTGATAGATGTCACCCAATTTCAAGGAAATCTGTGACATTTTTTGGCAGTGAAAGAGCTGATCTTGTATCTATTCTCTCACTCACAAAATGTATGCCTAAGACCAGTCAACAGATGATATATGTCTCAATGAATTCTGGCTTGGAACCTGAAGATAAAATCTAGGCACCAGGCTTACAATTATTTTCATTCTAAATACTTTGACAGAATTATATAAATATACATACTAACATTTCTTAGGTAAATGCTCTGTTTTACTTTCTATGTGTATAACTAATTATCAGTTATTATAAATATAACTCTCTAACAAAACTGCCATTCAAGACCTTCAGTGCATTCACTGACAGCTGTTCTGTTTTTATTTAAGTCATATATTGAGTCTTATGCCTTTCTGATAAAGACATTATCAAAAAATTGTGTTTTACAAGGTCTTTACTTGTATTGACTCCCTGTCCTTACTAATTAATCTTCCCAGTATTGTTCACAAGATGAAAAGCTTTAATGAAATTGATTACATATGAGCCAACCTTAATGAAAGTGAAAACAAGAGTATAATTTAAATCTTTTAACATTAAATTAAAATCTTTTAACATTAACTTCTCTCCTCTGCTTGAGAATGTATAAGAGAAAGTAGCCACTAGCTACATCAAAGTAAATGTATAACTACATTATATTCTGTGACCCACCCCAAAGCAAGATTTAGAACACAGCTTTCTTTGAACAAGTAAATCTTGTCAAAAATAGTTCTCATATTTGAAACAGTATTTCTAATACTTCATCTATAAAAATTAATTTTTGGATTCATCACTGTGGCTGCTAAAACCAGAAAAGCAACAGTTGATTAAACATTTACCACATATTTCTTGATAATATGTTTTTAAGTGTATGTCTTCTGCAAATGATATCATATTTTAGGCCAAGGCAGCAGCCTATGGATAACTATAAACTAATATTGAGAGGAGAATATTGATCCAGAATATGAATATAGTTGTGATAAAGCAAGGGAAAAACAATAACTTTCTGTGTCAATTTTCGGCTAGACACATATTTTGTGTACTATTTCGTTATCATGGTTCTAAACTATGGCTAAAAGATCCTTTAAAAGAAAGCAAATAAATGCTGCATTTTTAATGCCTATTATTTCTTCATTCTTCAGTTTATTTAAAAAAAAAAAAAAAAAAAAAAAAAAGAGAAGAAAAATTATTCCAGAACTAAGTAAAAAACATCATTTTTATTTCTGGCTTTTCTTTTTAACGATATAAAGCCATTCAATCCTTTTTTCCTATGCTGTTGCCAGGATAAAAAGGCAAGAGGTCCTGGTAGGAAATTGTATGTTTCTGTGTAGGGCTCAATGTAATTAGGAGAGCTCATCTGTTACTCTTTCCTCAGAGACTAAATATGCTAACATTGTAAGGTACTTAAATGACACTGTGTCCTTTAAAGTGGTTTTGTGAATGGTTTATATCTAATTAGGAGTTATTAAACCAATATATATTGATAAAGGAGCTGAGAGAAAAGACATTAAGGAGGAAGGGAATTGTTTGCATGCAAAAGAGATATATGAGCAATAGAACAATATAAAGATATGTAATGAAATGGCTAAATGGAGGATCATGGTAAGACTGATGACTGCAAGCAGTCAAAACAATTTAATACTAGGATAAGGAATTAGAAAGTTTATCAGACTGAGAAAACTGAAAATAGGAAAATGGTGTGGTATTTGTTTGTATAAAATGAATAAAAAGTTAATTTAAATTCAGAAAAATGAAATATTGACTAATCATCTCTCCATGAAGACTGTAAATCTCATAAAGAACTCTCTTCATATGTTAAATGTGTATACATGAGGTAAAGAATGGATTAAATAGAACTGTTTTCAGTTTATTTACTATTACATGTAAATCCAGGTTGCTATGCAAAGAGTAAATTTTATTTGCTTTCATGCACTTTATATGTGTAAAACATACTATAAAACTACTACATTTTGGTGTCAATCACTTCTAGTAAAAAAGCCATCAATAACTTCTAAATTTGGGCCATGCTTCACAATTTGGAACTGAAGATGTAAAGACTCACATAGAGACTCCAAGACAAAGAAGGGATTAGTTTGCTCACCTGTATGGAGATATTTACTATGAGGAACACAAAGGCAAAAATGCTCATTAGCTTAGGGCATTCAAAGACATTTATAAATCATGGTAGGAAGAAAGCTTTTTTCCTCAAACAATATGGTGCACAGCACGATACAAGCTACCTATTAAAATTGTTTAAAACATGTAAGCAGTTTTAATTTTGCCAAATATAAAGCACCTGGTATTTATTGTGAAATGTAGAATTAGTTTGATAAAGAGAGACATGAAGCTTGTTCCAAATGATGAGCTGCAGATATTGAATTAAATGAGACTGTGTGAGGAAAGGGGAAAGAAACAGTCCCAGAAGCAAGACAGCACAAAATCAGAGGCTTTTTAAAAGCAGTCTACTTTAAAAAAAGATATAATGAGGGTAATGAAATTTATAAAAATAGGACAATTAAACTTCTATTTTGATAAATTAGGAAGACATATGGTAAGCATGCTTGGAATTGAAAACTAAATCTGGCAGTGCCAATGCAAGAAAGATACAATGGTCAAGATAGAAGAAGAGACATAAATTTACACTAGCAAATATTAGAGAAAACAAAACCAACCAACCAAAAATCTCCCATAAAGATGTTCTTTTCCTTTTGTATCACTTATCTTGAGAAAACACACATAATTTTGATGAAGTATGAAAGTCATATAAGGTCAAGTCAATAAAGTGTGAGAAAGCAGTAAGAGTAAAGTGTTCTGAGACTCGTATACTGTAAATAATGCTGGATTTCTATATATTGAGATTTACATAGTTGCTTTAAGCATCATGTATTGTTTATTTATCCTCTTACCATCATTTTACAACCTACATGTACAAACTTTCATCTTATGGTCATACAAAACTGAAAATTGCTGGAATCACTACATAAATTCATGGAGGAGGAGATGACTTCTAAACTGAAACTCAGGGATAAGCATTTTAGGATGTCCACAGTTACTGTGAGCATTGGAAAACTCATGGTAAATCAGACAGAAATTGAGGCAATCAGGTGATATTTTTCATTCATAATCTTGCTTAGATAGCCTTTGATGTGTTTGACTAAGGAATATGCATATTCCCACATTAGATTCTTTTGACCTGATTCTCTTCCTGATTTTTCTCTTTATACAAGCAAGAAAGAAAGCAATGAAATAGAATCAAGTTCAGCTCCAGAGGTCAAAAACCAGCAGAGATGCAGTGCTTTAGAAGCTGGAAGGAAGTGCCATGAGGTCCTTCAAAGAGGAGAGGAAGGAGACAGTTATGACTGAAAAATGAGAAAAGTCAAAGGCAATAGTATGAAAGAGGAAAAAAAGAAACATTTTTGTATGTGGCATTCCCAAGAGTCCCTAGTAAGCCACACAGTAAAGTTTTGACTGAGGCCAAGCTGTGGTTTGGCCCATGTCTATCACATTTAGTGCCTACTGCAAAGTAAGGATTACCTCAGTAAGAGATAAATTAGCACAATCATATATATATATATATATATATATATATATATACACACACACACATATATATATATGTGTGTGTATGTATGTATGTATATGTATATGTACATGTACATGTACATGTACATGTACATGTATATGTATATATGAACTGCATATGTTTTTAATGTATGACAGGTGTAGAAATTAGTGAGAATACGCACTATAAACACAATTGAAAGAATCATATTTTTGGCAGAACCTTCATCCTTGCCTTGGACATTTCTCTCCTTAACTTTTATGAAGAATTAGGCAAATAGCTAGTATTTTTTTCATCTTTCAGCTACAAGGAGTAGTGAGTGTTTCCAAAATAAGAACTTGCATAGCTGTACATTGTGTTATTTCTCGGAATGGATAGCAGGTGAGAGAAGTAGACCTGTGTGACTGACCCTGAAAGTGGATATTGTCTTGAAGCAGATCTCTGCCTACAGTGTTTTCCCAAAAAGAAATAATTTTTGAAAAATCTTATCATTCAAAAGACAGACTTTTTGAAATCAAAAAGCATTTTATGAGGACTAGAAGTATAGAAAGGAGGAGAGAATTATTCAAAAGCACATCATTCCCCTCGGCCTGCTGTGTCCTTTCAGTATAGCCTTTCACCCAGATTCAAGTAAAACACTTCTGGATTAAAGATAGCATAGCTGTCCCTGACTGCATTCTCTGGAGTCTACAGAATAGAACTTCTCCTTCCAGTGACTTTTTGTGCATTTGCTCTCTCTCATCTCAGCAATCTGTGTTGTTCTGCAAACCCCTCTGCTTTCACTACACTGAAATCCAGGAATGTCCTTCCATCAAGCATTTATGTGGGAATATATACAGTCTTTCCTCCTAGGGAGGGACACTTCAACTGGCCATTGTTTTAGATAGACACTAAATGCAAGTTATGAGATTAGTTCTGACCATGGTCTAAAAGATGACTGCTCACTCACTGTGATGGATACTACCTACTGTGTTTCTAGAGAGGTAGAATATAGAAAACTGCAGTAACTTGTAAAAAACTGTATTTTAAAGGGTGGATGGGACTACAGGTTGCAGGAGCGGATTTGTTTCTGCAGGTTACTTGAAAAGAAAATAAGACATTTAAAATTTTTCAGAAACATAAAATAATATTAGTCAAAGTTAATTTTATTTGCAGTAAAAGGAAGTCTATTTGCTTCATGCTACATATTTTGCATTTGTTCTGGACTTCTGAATTCTTACAAAAGAAACAGCACGTCATTTTGTAAGTGATCTGTTCTTTGTCATCAAGTCACTATTAGAACATCGACATAAATAAATTAATGAGTAAACATTATTTTCTCACCTGTCTGTAATGCCACATAAATCTATCTGAAGATCACTGAAATTGCCAAAACCGTTTTGCTGAATAGAGATCATATCCACTGCTTTGTTACCAATGGAAATAAGTCGCATGCATCCTTGAAAACCACCAGATGAGGTATTACATTCAGAAGTGTTTCCATTGCTAGGACAGCCTGAAAAAAGAATAAAAACTGGAGCTGAAAATAAATGTTTTATTGAAAAAAATTATATATTCCAAAAAATAAATTGAACTTTTAAAACCTCACATAGTTTAAACTTCGTGGTTGGAGGACTTCTGATAAACCATGGCTGTATGACCGAAAAGAAATACGTCTCTGCAGTCTTACTGTATGCAAAACATCACTAAAAATTTTGTTAAAGGATAACCTCAACAAAAGCTCCAAAGCAATGAGTGGAATCAAGGTAGGAAGAGGTTGACTGGGAGACCATATTCCTAGTATGTTTGATTACAATACAAGGTCAGATGATTTGAAGAAGTTTTAAATCACAATTGAAATCAAATAAGAAAAAAAAATCAGTTACTAATAACAGTGATTTTACTGTATCAGCTGTTAAGAAGATTTTGTAAAGTATTGAAACTTCTTGTTGCAGACCATCAGTGAGAACTAGGAGAGATGCTGCATTGAACCTGACTCACAGACAAGGAAGAAACAGTTGAAAATGTAAAGATCAAGGACAGTCTTGGTTACAGCAAATGTGAAGACGAAGCTGTGAAGTTTATGAGCCACAGAGAAGAAAGAAATAAAACCCCAGAATTATAACTCTACAGAGTTCAGAAGAGCCAAAATTTTTCAGTTCAGGATCTAATTTTGAGGATACCATTAGGATATGAGGATGCCTTGGAGAGCAAAAGGGCTGGATAGCTTTCAACAAAAAACTCTTCAGAGCAAAAGAGAAGTTAATAGCAATAGAGAAGTCCATAGGAATATTGAAATAATTAAGCATGGCACAAGGCCTGCAAACATAAACACGGAGCTCCTGGGTAAGTAAAAACACACAAAAAGGCACACAAAATGTGGTAGCAGGGACATGCAGGATAGAGAGGAATGCAAAGACATTACCTACACATCTAGGAATTCAGTTAGGAAACCAAGAGGAGATAAAACTTGCCAAGGAAGCTGAAGTGCAACAGAAAGGTTTCTGTAGGTAAACAGTAAGAAAAGGAAGGCTAAAGAGATTATGGATATTATACATATATTCTATGGGGCAAGGGACTTAGTGACAAGGGTCTGGAGAAGCCAGACTTGCTTTCTTCAAGATCTCTTTCTTCACTAGTACAACTAATTCTTCAGATTCCCATATCCTAGCAGAGTATGAAAAAATAATGTAATACCCATAGTAAAGGAACAATGAGCCCAAGGAGCACCTGAGGGTGCTGCAGGAGCTGGTCAATGCCATTTTAACAATTACCATTGTCATTGTGAATTCATTAACATTTTAATCTTCAAAGGGTCTTGGTAATATGCTAAACCTCTTGATAACTGGAAAAGGCAGATGTTACACCCATCTTCAAGAAACAAGAGGGCAGTTAGTCTAGGGCAGTAGTTATTTCACTGCCTGGCAAACTCACAAAGCGAAACTTCTTAAAGCCATTTCCAAACATGCTAAGGACAAGAAGCTAACTTTAGCTAACTTTAGCTTCAAGGTTAAATCACGCCTGACTTTGTTGTTTTCGCTGAAGTGATGAGCAGTATAGATAAAGGGAGAGCACAGAACATTGCATACCATGACTTCAGCAAAGACTTGATGGTTTTCTAAGGTCTCCCTATCACTAGATTCACCAATATATATGTGGGTGGGATAAGCAGGCAGTTGATGCTGCAAATTGCAGCTGATGAACATTGAGCAGAAGATTATTCAGAGATCAGTAATGACATCTAAAATGTCTTGATTAAGTGACCTGGATGATGAGACACCATGCACTTTCAGCAAGCCTGCAACTGATACCAAACCAGGGGTAGGGACAAAATGTTGCAGAGCAGGGCTGCAAATCAAAGGGGCCTGGACAGGAATGCCGTGAAATCAATTAAGAACAAGATGAAGATTTTTAATCTGAGATGGAACAAGTCCATGCAACAATCCGAACTGGAGGATAACTGTCCAGAGACTGGCCTGAGATCCTAGTGACCATCAATTGGAATATGAGTTGGGGAAGTACTCTTGCACCATTGAAGGCCAATGACATTCTGGGATGTATTATCAAGAGCATAGTCAGCAAGTCTTGGAAAGTGGTTCATCCTGCTACATGGCACTAGTGAGGCCATATAGGGAGTGCTGCTGCTCTGGGCTCCCCAGTACAGGAAGAACATCAGCATCCTAGAGTGAGGCCAGAGGAAGCTGAATGCAGTTATAAGAAGAGGCTGAGAGATCTAGGCCTACTCAGTCTAAAGAAGACAAGATAAAGATATCTGATAACACTGCATAGAGAAGATGGAGTAAGACTACTTCCAGCAGTGAATGATGACAGGACAAGGGGCAAAGGATAAAAGAAAAACCTGAAAATTTGGATCATAAGGCATAAGATGCAAGCAACAAGTGTTTTTACTGTGACAGTGGTCAATATAAGAACAGTTTGCCCCAAGAAGTTATAAGATTTCCATCTTTGTAACTGTAAAAGGCCTTGAGTGGTCACATCCCTGTACATCTTGATCTAACCAGACTTGTTTAGAACAGAAGCTTAGACTACATACCATTTGGATATCCACACTGTAAGAATCTAATATTGTGCTTTATCTATTGTCTTACTGATCCTGAAATGCCTTATTCACTGATTGCCAAATAATTAAACATTTGTAGTAAATAAATTAATTGCTTTTATCCTGATTTGATTTAAAACATGTTCACTGAGCAGTTTTTCCCAGTGGCATCTAAACCCTGCACTACAATGCTTAAATGGTTTTTATTTGTCTTTCTTCCAAGGGATATTATTGTTTCTGCAATGGTGCACAAGGGTCATCCTTTGATCTTAGTCAAACAATACTGCATTCTGGTTCAAAGCATTTGAAGACCTTCTTGTTTCAGGATATTAGGAAGCAGTGAGTTTTAAGACACTTTTTTGTTCCAGAGAGCTAATGGGTACTTTTGAAGTCCTGTAAAGACAGTGGAGAAACTTACGATACAGGAAAGCAAAACGACAGTGGAAACTACTAAATATATTCAAATGACTGTGCAACAACATAAATAGTATAGATATATTTTTGAGAAATATAGAACAGAAAATGAATTAAAACTGAAATATAACGAGTTAATAGACTTTCAGTGTGTGTAACTGTTCAGGAACCAAACTGTTCAAAATTGTTATCATGTTATGTTTAGAAACATGTTATCATGTTTCTAAAGGCAAATGTTAATTATCTACTCTGTGTTGCGTTAAGAACATATATGAGAACTTGCAAAAGTCAAAAAAGAAGCATAGAAAGTTTTCAGCACCACACACAATTTGACAAATCAATTACAGGTCTAACCACATGCTTTACAACATTCTAGAGTTGAACTGTAACATAAATTCTGTAATTTCAGGTGAAAAATATGATGCTCATTTGAAAATGAAGTATTCAATTAAATAAATAAATAAGTGGAAAAAAAGTAAAGGCCAGAGAAAGCAGGAAAAGTTTATAATTTTTAGACATAGCTATTTTACAAAATGGTGTCTCAGATGTTTTTATTTGTGCTTCTTTTTCAAAAATTGTCTTCTGTTGAGGAGAGACAAATACCATTAACATCAACAAATACTATTAATTAAATTGTAATTCCTTACAATTGTACACTGGATATTAAAGATAAGAAGAAATCATTTAATAATTAAATTTATATTATGTGCTTATTGCAATATTAAATGATCTCATTTTCCCTTATTGTTGCAGTGAGTTATTATTACAAAAACTGAGAGTGGTTATAGATCCTTGATGATGGCATGACTAGAAATTGTGCTGACATACACTAAAATATTTTCATGTTTATTACACATTTTCCTAGTTAAGCATACACATTTCCTAATTTGTATTCATTAAAACAAGTAAACAAATCACCATGTCCCCAGGACATATCCCCTGAAAGGCTGATACTCATACTTTAACAAACAGCACAAACACAGCAAATATTTTTATAAACTTGGAAAGAAAGTAAAAATGCATTGTCTGCATTTTGGCAGTGGTATATTACATAAAAATTTAATAAAGAGTTTTCTAAACTCAGAAACCCACTTCTAGCATTCCCTAACTTTGTATGAGACGTATGAGCTGCAGATTTCAGCGATAAGGCTGACATCAGAGAACCTGGGGGGTGGATATGCAATTGGTACTTCCAGTGTTCCTGGAATTATTTTGTCCTCTCCACACCACAGAACAGAAATGGAAGTGCCTTTGTACAACTTAATTAAATATGCTGCTTTTTGTAACTGCCCACATCCCTTCTAAACTGTTCATCTGTGCCATCAACCCTGCAATGATAAAAATAACCTAATCAGAGATCTGGGAATCTGAACCAACACAGAAGGGTTATTCAAGACTAATAATTTGCATCATTCTTTGATTTCGTTGATTATTAGTCAAGTCAAGGGGTAATTTTAGTAGAATAGGGTAGATGCCAGATGGGATAATTCATGTGAATCCTCATGTAGCATAAGAGTATGTCTGTGAGCATGAAATTTATTTTAAACTTACTGTTTCAGAGGAAGTGATCTGTGGACAATGACTGGGTCCATACTCATTTAGTGTTCTGTATACAGCTCCTCAGTTCTCAGTTTTCTCAGAAATTTGAGAATTATTAATAAATAATTAATAACTTAATAATTCAACTATTAATGTTTAAAAGAGAGGAAGCATTAGGCTAATTACATACTCAGGTAATATTTATCATTGCTATTACGCACTCCATTCCCAAAAAATTATATGAATAACAGAACAAATTGTTCTACTCTATCAGTAACAATATATGCTACTAATGACATAGTCTCTTGATGATAGATGACTTTATATTCCTAGAGAAATGAAGACATATATATATATATATATATATATATATATATATATATATATGTTTTTAGGCACAAATTATATTCTTCAAATATAGATAAGTTATACCACTGTGGTTAAAAAAAAAATAAAGGTCTATGTATCACACAAAGAGGGTATTTACACAGGTAAGCATACAATTAAGGTGAAAACTTGAAGTAATTCCAGTGGAAGTGTCTCCAAAATGTTCATTTTGCAGAACATTAAGTCTGTAGCAAGAGAAACCTTTGCATGTCTGTTTGATTTTTAGCCAGACTATATTCAATTACCAGAACATGATACAAGTCATGACAGTCTAAAATGTGATCAAGGATTCAGGGTGGTGTTTCATTCTACCAACACGGTAAATTTTGAAGGAAACTGAAACTAAAAACATCATAACAGTGCCTGAACCAAGCTGGGCAAAGAAGACTTGAAGCAAGACAAACAATTATTTTAATTTGATTAGATATTTCAGGAAAAATTGATGTGTAACTGCTGGATACTGCCATTATAAACAAACAATATTTCACCTCCAAAGTAGAACACATCTGAATAAATCTGCAGAGGTATGAAGGCATGAGCAGATGAAGTCACATCATTGTCCACTCTTAAACTGATACGATTCCTTTTGATAGAGAGAGATACAGAATGCCACTGGCCATTATTTAATCCAGCACCTGAAAGAAAAATAAAACCCCCAAAATTAGTATAACCTTCCACTTATTGTTATATTATCTAAATGTTTTAGAGGTAAAAGGAGAAGGAACCAGGAGAGCAATCATAGCCCACATAAAATCTCCAATGGGAAAGAAATTAAAAAGAACTTTATTAGCAAAAGCATCTTTTGTGAAGACAGAACCTTGCTTCACATTTGATAAATAAAAAATAAAGGTACTTCAATGAATAAGTCTTAGTTGTAGTAGTATTGTTGTAGCCTAATTATCTGTAATATATCTATTTAATGTAATGACTGTGAAGAGTATCCTCCCAATCCAAAGAAGTTATCATTAAAACATCATTGTGGTAGTTGATACAGTATTTAAAACATAATGCATATTTATATTAGACTGTTACAAAGATTTATTCATATTTTAAAATTAAGAGTAGTCATTATATTACAATATGGCAAAATAGCAAAACACTGCTAAAGAGGCTAAAATCTTCAGTAATCATCATGTCAATGTCACATGACAATTTTGCTTTCAGCTGATTCTTTTACTGGACATGCATGGGAAAATATTTTGATAGTTTAGCAATGACCACAAATTTACATTACCTCTGGCTGTGTAGGTGATAGGTGCCACAAAGCAACAAACCAATAGCCCTGATTCTTGAAAGCACTTATGTATACATAAATAAATTCTACATATGGCAGCATGTAACCACATTATCTTTAACAAGTCCTTAGTCAATCTTAGTTCTTGAGTGTTCTTCAGAAAAGAGGTACTTCTTTCAGTGAAGAACAAAGAATACAACCTTTAAATTAGTCAAAGCTTTTACTTGACTGCAGAGTGACTATAATTTGTGATCTGTGATTTCCCTGTTGAAATTTCATGTATTTATGTACTCCTCTCTAGAACATGTTGTATATGCTGCAGTATCAGTCCATGAGTTGAGACTTATTCAAATAGAAAGAAAAGAAATAGAATGATAAGTAGATTCAAATAGCTAAATTATAGCATAACTAGGACTTATAGATTGTTGACTACAATAATCTAAATATGAGGTTGCTATACAATGAAGAGATAAACCCTAGAAGGACATTGCAAACTCAGATGAACTATCACCTAGATAATATCTCCAGTATATTTAAGATAATTAAAGATTAGTTCTACATACATTTTCTCTAATTTTTTCTTTACTTCAATCAGCGTATTTATTAGGGAACATATTACAAGAAATCCTAAACATTTTGCTTTAGCCCCAGCCTCTCACAGGTAGGTTAAATGATTGAAGTCCTCCTCAGTCACATCTCCCTAATACATTATCTTTTCCTTTATAAATCAAAGAATCATAGAATCATATAGCATTTTGGGCTTCAAGTGATCTTTAAAAAACAATTAGATCAATCTTCTTCTTTGAATGGACTTTTTTTACTAGATCAGGTTGCCAAAACCCCCATACAATATAACCTTGAACATTTCCAGGAGCGGACATGTAAATATAACATGTTTCACTTTAGAATTATTATCTCTTGCTCTTTTTTCCTTGGGGGAAAAAAGAATAAAAATCTTTATTATAGGCCTTCTCTTAAGTATTGAAAGGCCACAATAAGGTCTCCCTAAAGCTTTTTCTCTTCCCAGGCTGAACAATACTGACTCTCTGAGCCTGTCTTCGTGGAGATGTGCTCCAGCCCTCTGATTATTTCCATGGCCCTACTCCAGTCTCCCTCTAGCAGGACCATGTTTTTCTTGTGTTGGGGACCCTAGAGCTTGAAGCATTCAGGTCTCATCTACCAGCACCCCCAAGCTCTTCTTGGCAGGCCTGCTCTCAATTCCTTCCTCCCCCAGTCTGTACTGATACTGGGGGGCACTAAAAACCAGGTGCACAAACTTGCATTTGGTTTAGTTGAGCTTCATGAGTTTCACATGGGCCAATCTTCAAGTCTATCAAGCGCCCTCCATTTTCAAATCTATCAAGGATTGCATTCCTTCCCTAACACAAATCAACTGCACCATTCAGGTTGGTGTCGTCAGCTAACTTGCTGAGGATACACTTGATCTCACTACCTATGTCATTACTGAAAACATTAAATCCAGCAATAAAGTCTGTCACTTTATTTTAATTGTTACAAGGATAACTGCTTTTAATTTTTATTTGTGCATCCTGCTTCAGTAGCTTCTTGTTCTCGTGGGTAAACCATATTCCAAACCTTGCAATATTTGATAGTGAAGGTAGGTAAGAGTCTGTCCTAACATATAAAGACTGGTATTTCAGACCATCAGAAGTTTTGGTTACTGGAAAATTAATAATATGAATTTTGCACTTTTTGGTTTGCTGATTGTAATTCACCTTACCGTCCTACTATACAATTTTGGAATGTGTATTTTATCTCCCCTTTTTAGAGCCTGGCATGATTAGAGATATTCAACAATGTTCATGTAGCTGAAGTTAAGACTTCTTAGAAATCCCTTTTATTAAGTCTGAGAACTAAGGAATGCCATTGTGAGAGCACAAGACACTCTGAAGAAAACTGTTCATTTTAGCCCTTGAATTGAGAACCTTGACTAAATTCACATTTGCTTGTATGAAGCTTGTGTTGGAGTAGTACACCATCTAAGTGGAAGAGGCCAGTGGACTACTAACATCTACATCCCATCTGAAACTCATATTGTCAGCTGCTGTACTATGAGTTAGAAGAACGCTTAACCAGAAACAAGTAGAAAAACAAAGCAATTCATTTTTTTAATATATAATAAGGTAGCTATTAAACAAGATGTCCATTTATCCTCATTAGTTCCATTAAATCTAAGTATTAAAATAGGGTCTATGTGATGTCTTGCAGAACAATGATACCCAAACTCAGGAACACATTTATAAAATACAGTGTATATAAATTATTAGGAGATCAGTGAGAAACAAAAAAAAAAAAGTTTAGAGGATTAGTCTGAAGTATAACAATGAAATCCCATTATTATTAACATCACTTAATTAAAAGCTGCATGGAAATTAAAAGCTGCATAGAAACAGAGGGTCACAGAAGAAACCAAGTAATAAGATCTAAAATTTACACATATTGTAATTCAATTTGGTCTCATAATTCAAAACAAATTAACTCAGTGTTGATCTCTCTTTTTTCAAATCAATGTTATTTCTTTGTGAATATTTGATGTACCACTTGCAAAAGAGGCTACAAATGAAAAACCTTAAGCAACCATTCTGCAAAAGAAAGAATTTACAGAACTTACTATAACATAATTACTTATGAATTAGCATGCCATTCTCCTTGGTTTTATATAGTTAAAGAAATTCTTAAAAAACACAGGATAATCAATTTAAGACTTATGCACAAAGAAATATGCTCGGGCGCGCACACACGTACGTGTCAAAGCCAGGTCATAAGTCCTTGCCTGTACGGGAGCAAATCTTCTGTCCAACCATCCATAATTAATTACTCAATCTCCAAAGGCAGACTTGAATTGCTTCAGTGATTGCTACAACAAACACTTCAAAAACTCAAGGAAAAGTTTCCCATATGGTTTTGTTAGATAAATTCCTTCTCCAAAGAAAATAAGACGATTTTGCTGTAGCTTTTGCCTTCACAAAGACAAACACAACTCCTCCTGTTAGACTTTATGAACAGAAAGCTTAACCTAGCATGAGAGCATTAAATTCTGTTTCAGAATAGAATGTAAAGATTTATTTTGGGATGCTTACACTAATATTTTACCTATTCCGTTGCAGCTTTAAAAGTGAATAAATTGCAGCATGTGCAAGTCTACCTACAGCTGTTAAAAGTACCACCACCATCAGCCAGTCTGTTAAAATGACTGTGCATGGCAACAGTTTTTTAACATACATCACCTAATTGAACAGCAATTGAAACAGCTCCTAAAAAGCCAAATTCATCACTGCTAACTACATACCACTGACGTTCTTACTAAGAAATTGACATTTTCAAATGGTAAGCCTAGAGAAATCTCTTGTCATTAAAGTGGTACTCTTTGTGCATCAGTTATTTTAGATAATAAAAAATAGAAAGGGTTGTTCCCATTATCACCCACAGGAACAGGATCAAAGTATTTATGTAAATTTCAACATTATCTGTGGTCATTAGAAGCTTATAGTCTTTTCCTGACTTAAAATAATCAACGGTTTAAAACTTGTAATCATTATGCACCTGTAGAAACATAATGAACTTGGCAGTTTCTTCTCTATCTCACTCTCTTCTTCCCTTCCCTTCCCTTCCCTTCCCTTCCCTTCCCTTCCCTTCCCTTCC